CAAGGGCGACGGTGACGGCGAGAGGACGGGCAGAGGGGTCGAGGGCGAGAGGACGGGCGGGGTCGATGGCGACGGCAACGGCGACGGCGACAGGACGGGTGGGGTCGAGGGCGAGGGCGACGGTGATGGTGAGAAGATGGGCCAGGTTGAGGTTGACGGCTGGGGTGAGGGCGAGAGGACTAGCAGCTCTGGCGTTGGAAGCGGGCAACCTCCAACATGTTGTTTGAATTGCGCTGCAGACATCCATCGACCACAGGAGCAGAAGCAAAGTCGATCCATCTTTTTGTGGCAACAAAGAGAAAGAAACCAAAGGAAATCGCAAAGCTATTTCTTGTCGACTGATGACGAACCATTACTCAACTGGCGGAAGCCGCCTTAAGAAGCGTGTCGCGTCTACGGGATCGCCTTTATCGTTATGATCTATCGTCTGCCTCACTCGTCCTTCCATGGTGGCCGCAGTAGACCAACCTGATCTTAAGGACCTCGGCCACTTCGTTCGCTGTCCTCTTGGCGCTCCCGCTCGACGAGGAGATTACAACCTGTGGTCTCACAAGCCTGTGGATAGCGGCACGGTACGCTCTCTCTGTTGTATGATGTCAGTCTCTTGCGGTGCTATGGCGAGCCGCACCACCAGTGGTGGTACCCGCGTGCGAGGAGTGCGAGGGCGAGCCGCCGCTACCGTGCGAGTCGGCGGCGACGCGTAGTGCAGTCCACCATGATAAACGGTGGTGCAATGAGATATGTGATTGCTGTGCAGCAAGAAGTCCAAGGTCAAGAGTGTACTTCAAGATTACCTTGCTGCCGTCAACAGCTGCACAGTGACCAGGGAGGCGAATACCTTGGGTGCTGGCGTTGCAGCAGCAGCTTCTGCCAGTGCCTCACAACAATCGCTCCTTGAGGGTGGCACATGGCGCCGCGCCGCATACGAAGTTGCCTGTCTTGCTGTTGATGAAGAAGGGTACGCCTCTACACTTGCCCTGCGCTGCCTCCTGGTACCGCCCGTAGTTGGTCTTGTCCGACCGTATCTCCAGTCGCTGCAGGCTACGGCCCTCCGGCATGGCCCTGGCGCCAATAATAATTAAAAATAAAAGCAAAAGAAAGCAAGAACATTGGGGGCGCACTGCTGGAGGCATTCGACTTCGGGCAGAACCCGCTGAGTGAACGGGCAGGTCTCGCTGAAGTAAAACATAAGATCGTCCGCTGGCAAACTTCCCGCTGCCGCTTCTTCCGCCATCTCGAGATTGTTTTGTGGTGTGCTGATTAATTTGATTTGATTTTATGGGGCGGACCATTTGGGCTGGCCAAAGAAAAGTGTGAATAAAATATTCACCCCCGCACTCGTGAGAGGCTCGTGATGTCGTCGTCGTCGGTGAAAGGAGCGATGAGCAGGCGGTGGATCATGCGCTGGGTGAGCGGCGACGAGCCGCCCTTGGCCTCGCTCCGGTGGTAAGCCAGAACGTCGAGTAGGTGCTTCCGGTCCCCCTGCGGGTTGGACTGGCCGAGCGACCAGAGGAAGAGCTGCGCGAACAGGTCCCGCTGAGCATTGCTTCCGCCGATGCCAACGAACGAATGGACCAGGGGTGTCGCCTCGGGGTCGGCGACGAGCGGCAGCAGGAGCGAGGTGGCTTTCTCGTAGTCTTTGTCCCGGTAGGCGGCAAAGGCCTTGCAGAGCGGCTCGGCCACTTCGGCAGTCATCTTCCTGTTGCCGATCTTGGCCTGCTGCTCGTTCCCTCCCTGGGCGAAGCCGTTGAGAGAGCTCATCAAGCGGGCATAGCCCTCCTTGTCTCCCGCTCCTAGCAGAGCCACGGCGTGGTGCACATCGTTGTACGCCTATTGCAATATTGGTCCATTAGTCCACCATAGATCCCTCTTCGGGCATGCGCCAGGGAGGCGCGTGTGTTGTACCAAAACGTGGTCATTTTGGTGGGGCGCGAAGAGCTCAGCCACTTGCTTCCACCGATCGCCAACGGATCCGCCTGGACGTGGCTGGTTTGTTAGAGGGTGCAGGGTGCAGAAGGCGAGCTAGCGATACCATCGAATTCGATCCTCTGCAGGAGGGAAGCGGCATCGACTAGATCGAGCATCGCGCCGGAGGACTTCATCAGGGGAGCGATATGGTGGTCGAAGATCTGCAGAGCTTGCTGGTGTTTACCCTTCTCCACGTAATGGAGCGTCATGTGCCACCATAGGTGACACGCCAGTCCAGTGCACCACTGTTCGACAGAGCGCGCGTCAGCATCTTGTGCCCCTCTCGCTCGTTGAAGAGTACCTTCCAGTTGGCCATCTCCTCAGTGAGGAAGTTGATGCCTTCCTCCTGTTTGCCTTGCATCTCGTGCACGTGTGCCAGTGCATGGATGGACCAGGTATCTCTTGGGTTTATCGCCAGCGCCGCCTTTGCCCTCCTCTCCGCCTGCTCGTAGCTACTTGTCGGGAAGAACAGGTCATGCGGTTGAGCGAGCGTGAGGGATGCCGCTGACCAATGCAGTGTTCGCGTACCAGAGATTTTCTTCCAGGCTGAAGGCAGACATGCCCAGGAGGTAGCCAAACATGTGCTCATTGTTGGCAGACCTTTCCCACTCGCCAAGCACTCTGTCAAGCGACTGCTTCATCTCCGGGGCCTTCCCCTGTCGTGAGGGAAAGAGGCGGTGCGGTGAGACATCATCCTCACGATCCGGCCCAACCAAGCACGCAGGGCAGAGGGTACGAGGAAGAAGTAGGCGTCATGAGCAAACTTGACCGCCAGTTCATCACGGGGGTGGCGCGAGAGGATGTCCTCCCACACGCCCACAGCCTCGTGCATTGACTCCTTGGCCACCCACTTGTCCAGTGCTTCCACGTGCGCCTTCTCCACTTCGGAGGCTCCTAGGCGGTTGACCGCCTGAGTCACCTGGCATCAGTGACCAGCAAACACTCACTCACAACTCGGCAGGAAGAGGGAGACAGGGAAGAACCTTTCGCGCCGCGCTGAGCGGGTCTTGGACGTGTGGCGAAGTGTATGGCAGTCCTGTGCTGAACAGGGCCAGGCCCGCCCTCATCACATGGCCCAGCACTGCGGCCACTCAGAACGAGAAACCAGCAGCCACAAGGGAGAGAGGGGGGGACGGCATACCGAGGGCGGGCTCGGCTTGCACTGATTGCTCTGCAGACAGCAAGGGATTCCCGAAGATGCCAAAGTGCTGGCCACACGAGCGAAAGATGAAAATCTCAATCGATTTTGTGTTTTCACATTAAACAACACTTACCTCTACTATGGATGAGTCAAGGAGGTGGCGCGCCTGGGGGCTGCCCCTGCTAGAGGAAGCAGCAGCCCACGTCTTCAGCCCAACGCTCCACCCGCTGCGGCTCAAGGACAACCGCGGTACAGGCGCGCTCCACCCCCTTGCAGTCGCTCTGGTCAGTCGCATCGTATTTTTTTGAGTGTGCGTGAGCGTGCGCTAGTGCTCGCTCTTGCGTCAGCCGGTGATCACTCAACGTGCCTCTTCCTTATTGAGTTATTATTTTCTTTTAAACTTTCCTTTTCTTCTCCCATTGCATTTCCCATGAAGTGAAGCTGAACGGCGGGTCGTGCACTGAATCGCGATGGACTGCTTAGGTGCGCACACCTCCTCTCTTGGGCAGCTCGTGCTTTGCCATCTTACGTCTTTAGTTCACCTATCTTGCCAAGTATGGAGAAGCGTGGTGCGGTTTTGCCCTGGTTGGGTGCTCGTCTTGCCTGGGCTTACCTTTTTCTATCGTTCGCGTTCTTCTTGCGCTGGCGCAGCGGGAGCACAGGATATTGGGAACTTCAACGTCGTGCTTTCCAATGGCCAACTGCCATCTGAGTCCAGCATCACCCACGAAGGTTGCCCCCCCCCCGGTGCCCTCGTCTTGCACTCTGTTTTTCCTGCAGGAAAGTTTGCACCAATAACGTCGTTTTTTGTGGTGCCACGCAGGAATGTTCAATGAGCACTTTTTCGCGGTGGGAAGCGAGACTGAGAAGCCCTTCTCGTGCCAGTGGTTCACCGCAGTCTCTCCTGACCCTCTCAGGTAAAACACCGACACCGACACCACCCCACCTTAACCCTGCTCGAGGTGTCGGTATCGGTCTCTCTAACACACCGCGTATACGAACGCAGTGGCGAGGTAGAGTACTGGGTGGGGTGTGGCTTGCGCGGACGTCTCGACGGGGAGGGCATCCGCAAGTACGGACGCCCGCGCCTCAACCTGGTGCTCGTGCTCGACATCTCGGGGTCCATGAGCAACCCCTTCCGTAGCGGTACAGCTGCGCATCTGCCCTCCATTGTCTCCGACCACGTGCGCGACGTGCAACAACACAGGGCTCATCTTGAGAAACAGGGGATGCCAAGAACATGCTGGAAGTGGCCAAGGACTGCGTAGTGGCGCTCATCGACCACCTCACACCTGAGGACTCGTTCGGCCTGGTGGCGTTTGACACGGTATGTCCTTGGCGGCAATCATGTGACCTTCAAACGACGCGCACAACTGCACACGCACACGGCGCCAGGCTCATTGTGTTTTGGACCATGTACAGAGCGTGGAAGTGGTGCAAGAGCTGGCGTCGATGAAGACCTTGGACGTTGCTGCCTTCAAGGAAAAACTATTTAAGTTGCAGCCTCGCGGAGGCACCGACATGGAGCTTGGCATCAACGGAGGCGCTAAGCTCTTTGAAGGTCTCGCCAACGAAGCTGGCACAGGCAAGCAGAACCGTATGATGTTCCTCACCGACGCCCAGGTAGGAACTTTTTCGCACCACCAGTGCGCAGCTTGCGCTCACCAGCGCCGCCTCTCACGTCGTGGCCTGTGTGCAGCCCAACTCGGGGTCGACTTCGCCCGATAGTCTGATGGGAATCTGCAAAGCCAACGCCGAGACGCGCAAGATCTACACCTCGTTCTTCGGTCTCGGAGTCGACTTTGGTGTCGAGGTACGCACGGCCTGGTGCTGATTGCCGGAGAGGTCGGCCTCTGATCTCCTCTCTTTTATTATTCTTCGTCGCCAGCTGGTGGAGGCGATCAGCCACATCCCGGCATGCAACTACTTCACCGTTCAGTCACCCAAAGAGTTCAAGCAGCTCATGGACAGGGTACCGTCGTCTCCCAAACTAGACCTCTCTTTAGAACTCATATTCGTACGAACTTTGCTTGCTTACACGTATGTCCCCCTCGTGTGCCTTACCAGGACTTCGATTACATCGTCACGCCCTCCTGCTTCAACGTTCAAGTAAAGATTGCTTCGTCGTCCACCATCGAAGCCGAGAGGTAGACCCACACGGCCGCGCGTACATGTCCCACGTCCTAGCTGCTCACACATCTGCTTTTTGCCGTCGTGGTTTCAGAGTTTACGGATCCCGGCCACGAGATTCCTCAGCAGGGCGTGGTACGAACGGCCGCGGTGAGAGGCCCGGTGTGAGTGACGTGCCCAACTCATGTTTGTGTTGTGCTTGACGTCTCCACCAGTTGCTGGAGATCTTGAGCACGTTCCCGTCACCCAAGGAAAACGACGACCAGACCAAGGGAGGCATCGTGCTCATCAAGCTCAAGAAGCCGCAGCAGCAAGCTGGAGAGGCCGAGCTCAAGGTGGTGGTGTCCTACGATGACGCCGACGGTAAGCACTACTCCGACGAAAACACCATCGCGGTGAGCTTGGCGGCAGTCAACGGCAAGGGCTACTATTCTGGTTCCGCCATACGCAAGGCAATCGCCCTAGCCAGGTACCTCGCCGAGTCACACACACAGCACACACACATCACTCAACCATGTACTTGCCCCGCTAATGTGGAACACGACCAGATTCGTGAACATCATGAAGTGGTGGATTCGCGACACGAGCAGCGGCAAGTCCGATGCCAGCTCGGCATCGGTGTCACAAGCGGCCGGCGTGCCTGTCCCGCCGGTGGACCCGCTCAAGGGCAACAGTTGGACACCTCTGGCCGTATCGAAGCACTACAAGGCCGCGTTTGCCGAGTTCCTGAGCCACTACGAGCGCGAGCTCGAGGCCCTGGCCGATGCCGAAGGGGGGGAGGAAAGCGAGGACCACCAGCACCTGGCGGAGCACACCCAAAAGCTGCTGGGCCTCATCAACAACGTTTCGGCTGAAGAGATCGACGCGAGCATGCACGCAGTGCTGACTGACGAGGAGGTGGAAAGCGGCAGCGTGGACAGCCAAGAGCTGCGTAAGCGCGTCGAGGTGGCTCTGGGCACTGGCACCCGAGCTGTCGACCTGGCCGACAAGCAGTATTGTTTCGACCAGGAGGTCAAGAGGCGCATCAAGGAGATTCTCGTCCGCAAGCTAACAGCTGCCGTGACGGCCGAAGGCGAGGTAAGGCAGGCAACTTTTTTCGCGCTCAACACACGCCACACACACACACACACATACAAACTCATCCCCGTTGGCCAACAGAACAACTTGAGGGCGGACCAGAGCAAACGCGAGGCCCTGGCCGAACGGATCGCAGGATTCGCGCTGGCACGCAAGGACAGCGCGGGTAAGGAACAGTGGCAACGCATCGCTCTCTCCGAACTCGAGAAGTTGCTTCCGACCGTGCAGCAGCCCAAGAAGGGGCTGATCGACCAACTGAAGGGCTGGTTCTGAGCTCTCCACGCCACGCCCGTGTTTTTATTTATTTATTTCTTTTTTTTTATTTTTCGCACCGTTGTGCTTTTGTCATGTAAAAGCGGCTGGGTCAAGCACCGCCTCCTTTCTCACGCCTTTAACTACATCAGGGTCGTCCGCATCGTGCCACGCGTTGTAGCAGCCCAACCGGTCAAAAGTGAACAAACACGGCGTCGCACTGTGCCGTGTGTGCGTGAGAGCGGTGAGAGAAGGCGCAGTACGGGATTGTGCGAGAAGGAGGGCGTACGTGGGTTCTCCGCCCCAGTAGCCGGCTGCTCGTCGGTTCTGCTTCTGGCGCGGGGCCAGGTTGACTCGCCGGATGACCACTACGGCTGGGCGGCCCGTGCACTTGCGTCTACAGCGCCAGCACCTGTACGTGTCTCGGAGGTACCTGAACACGGCCACACGCCTAAGCACAGTGCCGCCACGCGTGTGTGCGTCGTGCGCATGTGGGTCGTACTCCTGGAGGTCTTGAGGTAGCTGTTGTATTTGATTTCGGTTGTCTCGCCCTACACCAATGCATGAGTACCGCGACAGACACGGGTAGGGGGAGGGGGGATGGAGGGTAGTACGGTGGACGAGGACGGCGCAGCAGGCCAAGTTGAGCAGCGTTGGCACCGCGACGGGTTCACACCTTTCGATTTGGGCTTGCTTCTCTTCCGTGAGCATTGAATCCTGTTGCAGTGGGATTGTTGGTATAGCACGGTGACTAGGTGTCCTAGGGTCTCTGAGACTAGGCTACGAGGCCTTCGTTCACCTCGCACCTTGGCGCTGTTCCACTTGAGCAGGAAGCCCGGGTCAGCACGAGCTCGCAACATGATCTCGGCGGGCATGTACAGGAGAGTGGGATTGCCCTCTGTGGTCGGTACAAGAGCGAGCGACAGTCAGCATGCCCCACCAGAAGGGGAAAAGAAATATGAATGAGTGCAGAGCCGAAGAGAGGAGGCGCGGGAAAGGAGAAAGTGGTGGCGATGCGCACCGAGGTAGAGATCGTGCAGTGAGGTCATCTTCGCTACACTCGTGGGGAAGGACGTGATGCGGTTGTAGGCCAGTATCAACGCCCTGCAATAATAATCAACGCACACAACCCCTCAGCTGCTGGCCCCAGCCCAGGCCGCCTTGATTTCGCTGCGAAATGTACCCCAAGCCCGTGAGCCGTCCTATGGCCTTGGGAATAGGACCAGCGATCGAGTTATGGGACAGATTGAGGTATCGCAGCTGCCGGTATCGATCGACATGCAGCCAACACACTCAGTGAGCTCACTTCCCACAATCGGGACCACACGGGTATGTGGAAGTAGGAACCAGACCTTGTGGAAGGAGAGCAGCGACAGTGGGAATGAAGTGAGCAGATTCAAGTGGAGGCTCAGCTTCTCCATGCACTCGGCCACCTGGTGTGCGAACAGGTGAACAAGTAGTTCTTTAACGTTTAAAAGAAATAAAAATAAAAATAAAAATACAAATGAGGGAGAGTGCCTGAGGGAGGAGGGGCGAGTCCAGATGGCGGATGGAGTGGTTGTTCAGGTAGAGTGTGTCCGCCCCGCGTGCCGCTGCCTCCTGCAGCCGCAGCTCCACATCGGCCGGGGTCCTCTCTCGGCCCACCCTCTTGCCAACATTGCGTCCTCTGTCCTCATCGTCCTCCGCACGGAGTAACTCCCCCTCTCGCCGTTCCTCCTCCTCCCCTCCTTCGTTCCGTGCCTGCCGTTTCCATTCCTTCTTCATCCGTGTGGATGTCGCGCGTTGTATTTTCTGCCCAACCAAGCGCTTTTCTCTCATTTTCTCAGCTGAGTTGGCCCGGTGTGCTCCTTGAGGGTGCTGTGACGCGCCAGAACACGAAATCACAACAACACATGGGGCAGGGTCATCCCACAGGGGCTAGAGGTGCATCTGGATCCTCGTCATCTCCCCAAGCTTCCTCAACTTCATCATCATCATCATCATCACCTTCATCTCCACCTACTTCGAATGGCTCTACCAAAGATGCGGGCAGCGTTCCAGTCGACCTCCCACCACAACCACACAGCACAGTGGAAGCTGAACCAGGTGGCAGCAGCACCCAGATGTTTTTGCTCGAGCTGGCAGCGGAGGGAGAGGTGGCGCCCGCGGCGGGTGAGCTCCCCACGACCGTACCGGTGCCCGGTTGTCAGGTCATCGAGGAGGAAGAGGAAGAGGAGGAGGAGGAGGCCTACCACGACGATGGGATTCACTACGACTATGAGGGCGAGGACATGGGCTCGGCCGACGATACTGATGACGAGGACGACGGCGGGGTGAGCGTACAGCAGGGCGAGACAACATTATCATCACCATCACCATTATCGACGGCGGCGGTGGCGGCAGAGGCCAACCGGGCAGAGGGGATTGCGCCAACGACCGAGCAGACGGAGCAGGCACGACCACAACAGCAGCGCCGTAGAACGGAGAGCGACGCCAGGCCGCTCGACCGCGCGGAACTCGGTGCGGACGAGAAGGAACGAGCCCTGGCCGCCATGCTCGCATCATTCAACGCCTCCCACGCGCTTCAGGTGACCGGCGTAGGAAGCGACATCACCACGGCCGTACGCCTCTCTCTCTCTCTCTCTTTCTCTCGGCTCGCTCTGGCATGGCGGCTGGTTGCGCTCACACACACACACACGCGCCAACATTTGGGCGCGACAGGACCTGGAGCCGGTGTTTGCCGAGTTCGGAAAGGTGCACGGCTTGGTGGTGGAGCCGTCGCGGCGGGATGTGGTCGTGGTCCGCATGCCGCACGACGCCGCGCAGAAGGCGAAGGCGCACTTTGCCGAGCACCCGCTGAGGGTCAAGGACAAGGAGCTCCAGGCGAGCGACGCCACGCTGGAGTGCTTCCTCTTCGTGGGCAACCTCAACGAAGACGTCGAGCCCGAGCACCTCCGCAGCCTCTTCCAAGCACATGGCGAGCCTGAGCGAACGATTGTACCGCCTCCACGCTCCGTGTGTGTGTGTATGGGTGGGTGGGTGGGTGGGTGTGACCTGACGTAAAGCGTCCAGGTGATGAGGAGCACGGCCACAGGGCGCAAGAAGGGCTACGGGTTCGTCGAGATGCGGACCAAGGCGCAGGCCGGCGCGGCCAAGGCGCTGCTCGGCGCAACCAACTTCCACGGGCGGTCCCTCCGCATCGACTGGTGCCGCCTGGGCAAGCTCGAGGAGCTCCACTCCCCCGTCCTCTTCGTCGACAAGCTGCCTCCTAACTTTACGGTACGCACGCCCCTCGAGGGCTGCACGGGCAGACTGCCCTCTCCCGTACTAATCAACGCGCGGCGTGGTACAGGACTACAATGGGCTGAGGCAGCTGTTCCTCAAGCACGGCACGGTCAAGAACATCAACGTGCCCGTCAATCCGATGAACTCTATACCACGCGGCTTCGCGTTTGTCACGCTTTCGTCGGCCGAGGAGGCGGAGAAGGGTGCGCGCCCACTCGCCTCCCCCACCGCAGCTCGCATAGATCGCGCTACTGGACCGAACACTCACTCCGCGTCCCCTGGTCCGTTGGTTTGGTTGTTTGTGGCCTGGATCGGTCGTAGCTCGCGACGCGCTCCACGACACGGAGTTCCGGGGGTCGCACATCAGGATCAGCTTCGGGAACCCCGCCAAGGCGGACATCGCCACCGGACCCATATCCCCGCGCTTCAATCCCCCCGCGGCCCACCGCGGACAGCCGTATGCCCGTGGCGGACTCTATCCACCACCACTACCGGTACCCACCACCAGGGCTCCGCCATTTCGCATGCACAAGCCCCCCGCTTGTTTGCTCACTCCACGGTCGTTGGCGGGCGCGCGTTGATTTCCAGTATCATGGGCGGGGCGGACGGGGCGGGTACTTTCCACCGATGCGAAACGGGTGGGGCAGAGGTGATTTCAGCTTCGGGCCGGCTCCCGGCTTCCTTGGCCGTGGGTTCGGGCCAGCAGCACGCACGCCCTATGGCCCATACCAGCCACCACACCGTCCCACACCTCCAAACCAAGGTTTTCACTCTCCTCCACCGCACAAGCAACCCTCAAATCCCATCGACGCTGACATCCTATGTGTTGACGTGTACTCCCAGGTTATGGGTTCAGGCCCTCTTTCCATCAGCTACCGCCGCGCGGTGGTGGCTATCGCGGTGGTTCACCGAGTTCCGCGGCGCCGCCGCTTCTTCCCACGCCACCGACCGCACCGGCCCCTGCCCCAGTACTGGGCGGCCCCTACTCCAGCTACCGTCCGACCGGACCCTCCTACCAGCACAGCCACATACCGCCAGGCGGCCCTCCTTCAGCCAAGGTACCCTGAGCGCAACCGAGTGCCTCGTTTTTATTGAATTGGCTCATGGGCCGCTTTCTTGGGTTGGTGGTGGACAGCGGCCCAACCTCGGGTACCAACCCCCGCAGCCTTCCTACCAGCCGCCACGACCGGCGTACGCCCCGCCGCATCGGCCCGTCTACGCCCCGCCGGCGCCACACACGCGACCCACGGCCTACTCGGCCCCTCCGCCATCTTCGCATCCGCGGCCCAGCGTGATCGCTGGCTACGGCTCGTATGGCGCAGCGCCTACTTCCTCGCTAGGGGCCTTCCGCGGCGCGCCTGCCCCGAGCCGCCCTCCTTACGCGTCGGCCGGTCCGGCAATCACGTCGTTGACCTACGGCTACCACGCCCAGCAGTCGCAGGTGGGAGGCGGCCAGAAGCGGACGCACGAGCAGATGCAGGGCAGCCCGGCGGCGCCCGCGTCACACGGCTTCCCGTCCTACCCGCCCGCCCAAGCGGGCTTCGTCCCCTACGCCCCGCCCAACTTGCGCAACCCGCCCAGCAGGAGGCCCCGCTACTGATCCCCCAAAGATACGGAGCGCGACACACTGTGCGGCGCCGTCGCTGCTGCTTCGGTACTTCTCATTCTAGTGGTGGAGTGGGAGTGGATGGCGCGGTATGGCGTGGCATGGAGAGGAGGGAGGGCGAGAGCGTGGAGGGGGGATGTGCACAAGTGTAGAGAAGTGATGTAAGGAGGTGAAGGCGGAGGAGAAGCATGAAGAGGAGGTATTGGAGAGGGGCAAGCATCAGCGGCTGAAGGGAAGGGAGGAAGGAAATGGAAGGGCACCACTGCTATGTTCACCGCCACTCAAATAATTAATTCCCCAACATCAGCACACAGCAACAACGCTCACTGCATGGCGCACACGACACACGACACACGCACACGCACACGCACGACAAATTGTGGTTGGGTGTGTCTGCTTGTTGCTGACGTCACACGTAAATAAACACGCCACGGTTCATTACTTCAAGCTGCTGTTTGTGAGGGAGGAGGTGGCGATGGGGCGATGAAGTCGATGACGGCAAAGTGGGTGCGGGTGGGCACAAACTGGAGGGCCATCTCCCGGTAGACCTCGTCGTCGGCAAAGTCGGGTCCGCAGCAGTCGAGCCAGTACTCGTCGATGAAGGCTCGCACCAGGTCTGCCTCGATCGTGTCCGTCCGCGATTCGGCCGTCGGCTGGTACACCCCGAGCCACAGCCCCTTGAAGGCCTCCTTCCCTTCGGCCAGCGGCGGCTGGAAGAACTCCACCACCACCCGCCTGAAGCCAAGCTGCACCCAAAAGCATCAGTCCTCCACTCGACGTGTCTAAAAAAAGAACGAAGAAGCGCGAATGCGGCGTGGGCAGTGGCGGAGGGACCCACCTGGTGCATGATGCGTATACGCACGTGGGGCGAGATGACGTCGGTCTCCGCATCCACCTTCTCGGGCGAGTGCGTCTCCTGTACCGCGACGATTGGTAATCAGCACAGCTTTTGAGGCCACAGACGACGAAGTTCTCGAAGGAGGAGGTGGTACGAGGAAGATGGCGCGTAGTGGGGTGCCGTGGCGCTGGAGGGCGTCGCGGTGCATGAGCCGCGCGCCCTCGTCGAGGAGGCGTTGGGCAAGGCCCTGGCCGCGATGGACCGGCGATACCACCACGTACGACACGAAGCCGCACCTGGACTGCAGGTAGTACTCGAACACCAACATGCCGCCCACCATCGCCTTCTCGTCCTTCCCTCCGTCTTCATCTTCGCGGAGACGAGCGAGGAGGATGTGAAAGATGGACTTGGGGTAGCACTCCGGCAGGCTGTCGCGCCAGACGTCGAGCTCGTCGAGCTCCTCCGGCGGGAAGGACGGCACCATGAGCTGATCGTAGAAGCGCTGAAGCAGCTCGTCATGTGCCTCCGGATCGTCGCGCACGTCCACCACCTCCCACAGCCTCCCGTCCATCTTCTCCAATAACGACTGATAATCCAAAAGAAAAAAGAAATCGTGTGCATTAATCGGGAAAAACAAATGAGAAAGCTCAATTTTGCTCATCATCGTGTTGTGTTTATCCGGCAGGTGGAGAGGCTAGAGGGGGTTGGAATGGAGCGCAGCAAAGTCGAGGGGGGCGGGGGCGCCTGTCTTGCTGACGTGCGCTGCGGTGGTCATGATGAGGCAGATCGATGCGAAGGCTGTGAACTTCCACAGCGCCTCCTCCAAGTACTCGATGTCTTCCTCCTCCGTTCGGAACTTCTTGATGATCGCGCGAAACAACATCTCTTCTTCTTTCGTGATGTGCTTGCTTGGTGGTTTGTGTTGGGTGCGTTTTTCCCTTTTCTTCGAATCGATTTTAAGTTGTGTGCTGTGCGTGTGTTGTGTGGTTGTGTCGTGTCTGTCGTAACATTGAAGGTGTCGCAGCAATAAGAACAGCTCACGTCGCGAGCTGCAGCAGAAGTGTCTAACGTGGTTGAGGTTGCAATTATTGAACAAAGAGGTGAAGAAGAAGCAAAAGTGTACAACTGCAGAGTAGTGGAAGGGCACAGTGTGTCTAGCCGGGCACGCCGGAGAGCCGGCTCATGAAGGATCTTGGGCTCGCGGCGGGGGACGGTGCCGAGACATCCGTTGCGCGCCGGCTCCGCCGCAGGAGCTCCTTCTGCTGCTCCTTCTCGCGCTCCCTCTCCCGCTCGCGCTCCTTGCGCTCGGCCTTCTCCCGCTGCTTCTCCTCCTTCCGCCGCTCCTTCTCGAGCTTGCGCTGCTGCGCTGCGTCCGCGGGTTCGTCCGAGCCCATCGGCCCGCTGCTGCTCGACGAGCCGTTGGTGAGCAGGCCGCCCGACGTGCTGAGCCCGCTCAGGCCGACCGCCGCGCGATAGTTGCGGCACGACTTGGAGGTGCGCAGCTCCTTCGTCACCGTCTTGCTGCGCGGCTGCACCGGCGATCCGGGCTTGCTGCCGCCCTTGCCCCCGTTCTCCGGCCCTCTGTCGTTGACACGACCAGTTCTGTTAGGGGTTGGTTGGCAAACAAAGGAAGGGCAGGCAGCACGTACTGAAGCTGTACAATGGTGACGGACGGGTAGGAGTCGGACTGGGCTTGGGTGTCGGGGCCACCGGCCTCCGCGATGACAGTCTCGTTGGCGTAGTAGCCCTCGAGCGAGCCGCGATTGCGGTCCGTGAGGGAGCGCGATCGGGACAGCATGATCCCACGTCGTCGCTTGTCCAGGCCGCCGGACAGCTGCCGCTTGATCCGATCGAAGCTCGACGTCGACGACGTCATCTCGGCCGAGGGGCCGGAGGTGGGAGTTGAGGTGGTGGTTGATGACGTTGAGGTGGAAGTGGAGGTGGAGGTGGAGGTAGTGTCCTCCGAACTCGGGGCTTTGTTGAACATCACCTCGGACTTATTGTCGGCCCGCTTGTCCTTGGACTTGTTGGGGGGCTCCACGCGGAGGGCGTCGCTCTTGTTGCCCACCGACACGCTGCGCTTCTTGGCCTCGTCGGCTACCACCTGCAGATCCCCGGTGCTGCCCGCCGCCGCCGAGACCGTGCAGCTGCGAAGCCGGCCCGCAGCGTCCGGGCGCAGCCCCTGAGCCGACTCGCCCTCAGCGGCCTTCTCCCGCGTGCGCTTGCGCCACTCCGTCGCGGCCTTCTTGTCGCCATCGAGGGTGGTCCCGCGCCGCTCGCGCTTGCCCTTGTCGCGGTTGAGGATGAGGCTGCCGCCCTCCCGCACCCAGCTCAGGTAGCGGAACGACGACGGCGATTGCGAGCCGGAGCTGAGTGGCGACGGGGCCGGCGACAGTGAGGAGGGCGACGAGGGCGTGGGCGAGGTGGGCGTGGTGAGGGGCGACGTGGTGGCCGACGAGGGAGAGATGGCGGGCGAGGTGGGCGACGACAAGTTCGACGAGTCCAACAAGGGCGGGTTGACGGCCTGGACGGTGGTGGCGAAGTTGAGGCTCCACCGCCGCTTGAACTCGAGCTTGAAGGCCGCCCCCGGCCGCACCTCCGGCGTGCTGTCTAGGGTGTCGAACGACAGGGTGCGCCCCTCTTCGCCCAGGCTGCCGCTGTCGCTGTTGTTGCTCTCGTCGCTCTCCTCGTCGTCCACGTCGACCGTCACGCGCCTGTTGCTCAGCGGGGCGGGCACAGGGACCGACAGGTCGCCGTCGCTCTCGTCGTTGGCGCTGCTGTCGTCGCTGTATTCGTTGGTCGACAGCGATCGCGGCTTGAGGAAGAGCGCCCGCCCGGACTCGCCTATCCGCGAGCCCCCGTCCATGAGGCCGTAGACGGGCGAGTGGGTCACCACCCGCTGGTCGCCGTAGCCCCCCTCGCTCTTTCGCCGCCGCCTGGCCTTGAGTATCTCGCTGACCATGAGCGGTGGTCGCAGGCTTTCCTCCATCAGCGAGGCCTGAAGGATGAGGAGCTGCTGCTGTTGCTGCTGCTCGCGTCGCTTGTCTTCTTCGATTCGCTGAAGGTGGGCGAGCCGTTGCCTCTTGCGGGCCTCCTTCTTCTCAGCGCGGACACGAGCTCTGACGGTGTGCCGGGCTTCCTTCTCCAGCCGCCGGGCGATGCACTGGATGCCCAGCTTGGAGGCCATCCATCGCTCTCGATCGCGCTCTTCGTTGGGGTCCTTTACCCAGAAGGAGCCCATGAAGGATCGAGCCAGTCGTGGTCGTCTTCCGAATCTGACGATGATGAAGATGACGACGAGTGGAAGAAGTAGTCCTCCTCCTCGACCACCATTTCCAACGACATCCCCGTCCGCTTGCGATCCATATCGTCTCACCACTCCCACCCCTCTACCGCTAATCTTGTTCTATTGATTGTTTGTTTTTTGTTTTTTGACAGTGGGGCGTGGTGCTCTTGGTTCCTCTTTGAAGATGGAGCGCCGCGTCTGAGGAGGCGCCAGAAGAGGAGAGAGATGCTTCAAAGGAAAAGGAGCCACGGAGGCCGTTTGAAAAGACAAGGCCGTCTTTGACTGCGTTCTTTGGAGGGGGGGGGCAGCGTGGAGCGGGTTGTTATTGGCAACCGCGGTTTCCAAACAACTCTTTGTGTGCACCCGAGTGTTACGTGCCATTTCGCACAACCGTGCCGCTTCGCGTGTGACTCCCCCATAAAGGGCAATCACGACCGATTTGTCCACACCAAGCAGCGCATATTTCGAATTATTTGCCTTTTCGGTACACGGGCGTTTTTTCGTCCGTCTGCTTTGCCACAACACAGGGAAAGGACACGAACGAGGGGGGTTGTGGGTGGGGGGAGCACACTCAATCTACTGCTGGGGCTGGGCCGAGGCCCGGCTGTCGACGAGGTCGATGATCCGGGCGAGCACCTTGAAGCCCTTCACGAAGCTCGACAGCAGGGCGAACTCGTTATCGGCGTGGTAGGCCTCCTCGTCTCCGTAACCAACGGTCTGCACCAGCAAAACCGCGCCATTAACACACACCCATGCCCTGGCTGACAACACATCACATGACACGACACACGACACACGCGTGCTACATTGCGAGGATTGTACGCACCTGCACATCAAAGCCGCCTGCCTGGAGGTCCGCCACAAGAGGGAGCGTGCCTGGAATTCCACGCATGTGTGTAAGTAACAGCGCAGGGTCCGAGGGTGTGGGTGCGCGTACCGGTGTCGGCGAGAGGCTTGACCTCGCCGATGATCTCCTGGGTGGCCTGGGCGAGGGACTTGAAGCCGAGGCTGTCCAGGTGGCAGGCGATGCCCTGCACGGGTTCGCACAGCCACTTCCACTCGAAGACGGCGGGCTCGTCGTCGCCTTCGCGCTTCTTCAGCACGTAGCGGGCGTCGGGTCCCCGGTGGGCCATCTGGTGCAGCGACTCGAACCTCTCCTCGCGCAGCTGAGCCACGGCGTCGTCGACCACCTTGACTGCGTCCTTAATGGAGTAGAAGGGAATCAACCGGATGTCGCCCTTGACCGTGCACTCGCCCGGGATCTGGTTGATGCCGCTCTCCGGCACCGCGATCTGCGTGGGCTTGAGCGACGACGAGCACGGGAAGCCGTACTCCTCCTCCCTCTCGTGCGGAGGGAACCGCTCGTAGAACCTTCACCACCGCACACGCCACACCACACACACACACACACACACACACACACACACACACACACGGTCAGGGAACGGACAATCACAGTGTCAGGAAGTGCGGTGCGGGTACTTCTTCTGGACCTGGATGATGAGGTCGCTGGCCATCTCCAGGGCGTTGACGCCCTTGTTGGGGAAGCCGCTGTGGCAAAGCTTGCCCTTCACCTTCAGCTCCCACTGGCAGAGACCACCTGCAGCCATCAAGTACGCATTCAGTACCACGGATGGATGGGGGAAGGAACAGAGACGCGAGCGACGAACCGCTGCCGATGTTGGGCTGGGCGTCGGCACAGTCGAGCCAGACCAGAGGGCCGTTCTTCATGGCGTCGAGCTCGCCGTGCTTCATCAGCTCGTCGACACCAATGGGCAGACGACCGCCCGATTCCTCGTCGACGATCAGCACCCCGAACACGCTCACGCTCAGCTGTGGCTTCGTCTCGGCCAACTGCTTGAAGAGATCGGTGAGGAGCGCGCAGTGGCCCAGGCAGTCGGTGGAGCCGCGGCCGTAGAGCTTGTCGCCCTCCACGGTGAGCTTGAACGGGTCGCGCTCCCAGGTCTCCGGGTTGGCGTACACCACGTCGAGGTGCGACCCCACGAAGGCCACCGACGACACATCCTTGGCCACCGCAGGCTTGGCCGCCGGGTACTCGATGATGATATTTCCTCCTGCACGACACACGACACACGACACACGACACACGACACACGACACACGACACACGACACACGACACACGACACACGACACACGACACACGACACACGACACACGACACACGACACGCACAGTGAGACCGGACCAAGAGCTGCAGGGCAGTTGTGTGCCCGCGCGATGCAAGGAGCAAGGAGGGTGCTGTACGGTGCTCGGCGTAGTGAATGTGCTTGATACGCAGAACGCCCCCGTTTTCCACGCGGTAGGGCTCCAGCGCGCTCAGCACATGCCGGCCCGCCTTGTCCTCCTGCGGAATGAAGTCCGGAGGCCTGCACCGATCGATTTGATTTAATTTTTGATTTTAATCAACATTTAAAAACTGTGAGATGCGCAAGGCCGAGTGGGGATCAGCGCACCGGTTCTGCAAATGGTAGGTCTCGCCAATGAGCTTCCCCAGCAACTCCACGAAGAAGGTCTGATCGAGTTCTAACTGTGCTGCCATCTCTGCGGTGTCAAAGCAAGAAAAGAAATTATTCAGAGAAAATGAGGCTGTCGGTATTCGTGGCCAAAGCCACAACCACCAGACTAACAACGAAAAGATGGAAGCCAGTGCACAGTGCGCCATCTGTGCCCATGCCCCAGCGATCCACAAACAGCGCGTGGTGAGTCTGCTTAAGCTTCTTTACCCTGATGATTTTTTATTCATCAAAACCATATATTCTGTATTTGTAATGTGGCTGCAGGTGTCCACGTTCTTTGGGGCAGCCTTGAAGCAGCCCGACGACCCGGCGGGACAGGCCGATGATGATAGAGAAGGTGAGCAGTGGTTCGGTGTGTGCGCCGATTGCGATGTGGTGTGCACCGCCCACCGAAGCAAGCTCGAGGCGCGCATGGCGCAAGCCTTCGCCGATGCGGCCGATGTTGAACGTGCCGGTGAGGGCAAGCAAGCGGCCGACGCGCGACGGCTGCGATGGAAGCGGGTGCGCAGCGCCGCCGGGGCGCTGAAGAAGCGTGCCGGCTCGCTGCCCGCCAAACAGGCCGACGAGTATCGGGAGCTCCTTCGGTCCCACTTCGGCACCGACGACCTCGACGATCCGCATGTGCAGTGGCTGTGGTATGCATACAGTACTTGCCCGCGTGCCACGCTGCTCACATGTCGGCGAAATGCATGTAATCAGCTGATGGCCTGACACTTAGTCCTTGCCGTGGTGTGTTGAAGCTCGTTTGATGCAGAGATCGACGGCGAAGAGGTGAACAGGGTGGTGGCCCAACTGTCGGCGCGGGAGCGACAGGAGTTCGTCGATATCTGGAAGGCGCACTGGTACCAGCTGTTCAAGGCCCAGGGAGCCGCCGTCCCGTCTGGCTGGCACCCCCGCTCCATCCTCATCCATGAGCTGCTCAAGCGGAGGTACGCCACGGGTCCAGCTCTGCGCAGAAGTCGCACAGTGGCTTGACCCGCTCTCCCCAGGGAAAGCAAGGCGCGCTTCCAGCCGGCGTTGGGCCTGCCCACCCCGGTCTACCGCTACGACAAGAGGGCCGAGCAGTGGAAGGAGGCCCCGCCCGATGCGGTCGCCGCCGAGACGGTGCAGACGGACCGGTTGGTGGTGGTGAGCTTCAACGTGCTGTTCGACCTCTACCACGGACTCACGGATCTCATTCACACCCACAAGCGAACGCCCTACGCACTCGACATGCTGCGGGAGCTCGACGCCGACATCATCGGGCTGCAGGTACAGCCCCTCTCTAAGTGAAACCAAGGCGGGCTTCGGCACCACTCACCTCCGCTTCGCCTTCGCCGCGCAGGAGGTGACGCCTCCGTTCCTGAGCTACATGCTGGAGGAGGAATGGGTCAAGGAGCGCTATTATGTCTCCGAGAACGACTTGGCGTTGGCCAAGACCAAGGCGACGAAGAAGTACTTCGATCGTAGTCCTTTGCGACTGTCAGTTTGATTCGCACATATCCATCTGACCTGAAGGCGTGAACGGCAGGGATCTGCAAAGCACGGTCTACCCGTCGGGCCAGTTGCTCTTGTCGAAGCTGCCCTTCCAGGCCAGCGTCTACGCCTTCTCAAACTACAAGCGCCTCGTGTGCGGCGAATTCATCATCAACGAGCGACCCCTGTGCGTTCCCGTCGTCCACCTCAGCAGGTGCCTAGTTCTCCGCCCACACAATCAACCCCCCCCCGCATCGTGTTCACTGATAGCTGGCTGGGGGCTGGGCATGCAGCGAGAAGTCAGAGGGAGCAGGGAGCAGGAGGGCGGGTCAGATCAATACGATTGTGAGTGCGATGCGCGGAGAGAACACCGCGACCGACAGAGCGTGCGTGATGGACTCGATCGTGATGGGCGACTTCAACTTCTCCGACGACAAGGAGGAGAGCAAGCTCATTCCTGATGACTTTGTGGATGCCTGGCTCGCTCTGCGCCCAGGTGCGCGTCAATTTCACCACCATTCGAATGCTTGTTTTTCCCTGACGCGCTTCCTTTAGACGAGGAGGGCTTCACCTTCAACCCGAGCACCAACCTGGCTGCAGCGCTCGTCAGCCAGAGCCAAAAAGGCAGGAGGTTTGATCGAATACTCATCCGCAGCCCTGGGTACAACAACTCCACCCCAACAACTCCACCCCAATCACACAACTCCCGTCGTCATGCTAAGCATCTCTATCGCCAGCGAGGGCCGATTCTGGCACCCAGTGAGCATCGATATGATCGCCACTGAGCCCATCGTGTGGAAAGAGAAGCGCAGGCCGAAGCGTAGGCCCCCCTGGCTTGAAGTGTTCGCGATGCTGGTTTCATCTCAGTTTCGGCCAAGCGACTCGCAACTGAACGCACCTTCCTCACTCTAGGGCCAGACACTGTGGATGAATCAGCGCTCAGCCCCGAGGAGACAGAAGACCTCATCACCACGTTTGCATGTGACGACGCTCGCGAGGTGCTCGAGTTTCCGCCCACGCTCAACAACTTCCAGAGGATGCTGGTGCACCGTATTGCTTCTAGGGTACTCCCGGCGATCTAATGTTGCACGATATCGATACCTACAGCTCACCATGTCCCCCTCTAGTTGGGCCTGCAGCACTACAGCGCTGGAGAAGAGTCAAAGGGGACGCGTTGTGTGGTTGTTGCCAAGAAGAAGGAAGGCACCAGCGCCAAGGCACAGCACAAGGGTGCACCACAGCCTGCCTCGCCGACGGATGCCAGTGGTAGTGAGCCCCTCGAAGAACAGGAGTTCCGCATGCACCCATCCGACCACTTTGGTCTTGCGTGTACACTTCACTTTGGGCTCTGATCATCACCGCCCGCAACAAAAGGCGCCCTTTCCCGGAAGTGGATTTTTGTGCAAACCAGAAAGGGTACAGCAAAACACAAAACAAAGCAAGATGCGCGCAAGTCAGAGAGTGGCCTCTCAGCGGTGGGCGGTTCCAGCCTTGACCGTTTGATGGCCTGTGGCAAAGGAATGCACCACACTTGCTCAAGCATGAACTCCCTGTCCTCTTGTTTGACCTTTTAGCCCTGGCCACCAGGGTCCTGATGTACTCTGGGTAAGCCTGTGCTTTCAGCTTCACATTATGGCCAAAAGGCTGTGTGTCCCACTCCCCAACACCACACAGGTCTTTCTCTGTGAGCTCAAGATCCACACAAGGCGCTGAAGAAGATCAAGCACAGGGGCTACCACATCACAGCCAAGTATCAGGCCAACAGCCATCATCATGGTGGGCGTGTGCTTTGACAGCCACATGTGCAGAGTGGGCCACCTGGTCAGGGCCACCAACGACAGGTCCCCCCCCTTCCTCCTCTTTCTCCCACCAGTGCAGTGGCTGCTCACCTTTCCCGTGAAGGTGACGGAGAGCGGTGGCGCCGTCCGCGAAGCAGAGGTGAGGCTAAGAGTGATTGAGAATAAATAAACTACTACAAGATGAAAGAAGTCGTTCTGACCAAAACAACGCTGCTCGTTCAGTGACCACCAGGTCGGCCGGTGAAGACGATATCGAGGTCGTCGTGCACGCCCTGGAGCAGCATGGGCGAGTCGAAGACGAGGATCTTGCGCTTGCGGGCGGCGAGGAGGGTGCCCACGAGCGACTCGAAGGCGGACTCGGCCTCGTCGTCGTAGAAAATGTCCCGGAACTTGAACAGGCCACGCGGCCCGCCCACCAGCCGCTCGGCGATGTCGCACAGCTTCGACACCTCCTCGTCCACGCTGTAGTCGCTCGGACCCGATGCAGCAGCGGGACCGGCCTTCTTGGGCGCTTCGTCGCCGTTGGCGTTGCCTTCGCCCTCGGCAGCGCCGGTGACGTGCGCGTAGCGCGCCAGCACGCTCTTCTTCACCGGCGGCTTACCGCCGCCAGTCTGCTGTTGTGGCTTGGGCTGCGCGGGCTCGGTCTGGGCCGACTGCGCGGGCTTTCTCGGCTGCGCGACGGGCTTGGCCTCCGGCTGGGCGTCCCTCTTCTGCTCCTCTGCTCGCTCGTCATCTTCATCGTCGAACGCGTACGAGCCGCGGTCCAGGCTCTTCTCCGAGGTCGAGCGCGAGAGCCACTTGGCCGTGGGCTTCTCCTTGCCGAAGCCCTCTGCACCGAGGAGGGAGAGCGTAAGCAGCAGTGGTGACGACGACGAAAGGCTTTCGCGTGAAGAAGAGCCAACTGTCATTGTCTCGTACCCGAGTAGTTGCCCTTGGCCTTGAACAGCTGCTTGAAGTGCGGCTTGCAGAAGTACTTGCCCTCAAGGGAGGCATAGCTGCCCAGCTTCAGCTTACCGTTACAATGATTGCACTGCAACACACACCACGCCCGGTGAGCAAATCGACACAACACAAAAAGAAAAGGGGAGGGTGCCCGGAGCGCGGCGTACCCTGAAGCACGCGACGTGGAAGATGACGCCTTCGGCCGACAGACGCTCGCTGAAGTAGACGGTCTTGGAGCACGCTGCGCACTTCTCATTGTTGATGCGCACGCTCCCGCCCTTCTTCTCGCCGGCGACCGAGCCGACGCCCTCGCCGCCGGTGGCCTTGGCCACCCGCTCCTCGCGCAGCTTGTCACGTCGCTCCTTGTCCCTCCGCTCCTTCTCCTGCTTCTCCTTCATCTCGCGCTCCCTCCTCTCCTCCTCCTCCCTCTTCTGCTTCTCTACCTGCTTCACCGCCGCCGCCGCCTCGTCCTCCTCCTCGTCGTCGTCACCACCACCATCATCGCCGCCCTTGTCACCGGCGTAGAAGGAGACGCGCTTGCCGCCGGACTGGCTTCGGGGCCGCTCCTTGAGAATGCCCTTCGACCCCGCGGTCTCGCCGACGACGGACTCGCCGGCGTCGGCCTCCTTCTCGGCCTCGCCGCCGAGGAACGCGAATCGCTCCTGGCTCAGCTTGCCGCGATCGGCCTTGGCGGCCGCCGGCGCCTCGTCCTTGGCTGTCGCGATCGGAGCGGCGCCGGCGCTGCTGGCGGGCCTCGCCTGCCGTCGGCTCTTGGCGCCGGACTCGCTGGCCTCCTCCTTGGGCGGCGCGACCTCGGCGAAGAGCTCGTCGGGCGATTCGGCGTCGAGGAACGCGAAGCGGTGCAGGTTGAGCTTGCCCACGCTGTCTCGCGCCTTGGTCTCTTGTTGCGCGGCCTTTTGCTTGGCGGCCTCTTCTTCCTCCTTTTTCTTCTTGCGCTCCCTCTCCTCGCGCTCCTTCCTCTCCCGCTCCTCGCGGTCCGCGCGCTCCTTCGCCTCCCGCTGCTGTCTCTGCCTCGCCTCGGCCTCCTTGCGCTTCCGCTCCTCCTCTTGCTGCTGCTGCTGCTCCTTCCTCTGCCTCTCCTCGGCCTCGCGCTTCTCCTTCTCCTTGCGCTCGCGCTCTTCCTTCTCTCGCTGCTGCTGCTGATCGTCGTGGGTCGCTCTCGCCTGGCGTTGGCCGCCTCTGCCGCGTCCGCGCACCTGCGGCAGCGGGCCACGGCCTCCTCTGCCCCTTCCCCTTCCGCCTGCTGGCGCCGCAGCAGCGGCGGCCGGCGGCTTTTCGGTTTCCTCGCGCTCCTTCTGGCGGGCCTCCTCTTCGAGCCTCTCGCGCTCCTCCTCTTCGAAGCGGGCCTTGAGGAGCTGGTAGTCGCGCTCCTCCTGCTCCTGCGCCTCGCGGGCCTTCCGCTGCTCGCGTTCGGCCTCGTCGCGCTCCTCCTGCTCGCGCCTCTCGCGTTCCTCGCGCTTGCGCTGCTCCTTCTCCCGCTGCTCCCGTCGCTCCCTCTCGAAGCGCTCCCGGTGCTCCTTCTCCTTCCGCTCCCTCTCCTCCTTCTCTCTGTCCTGCCTCGCGCGCAGTTCGTCCTCCTCGCGCGCCCGCCTCTCCCGCTCCTCGCTGGCCAGCCTCTCGCGCTTCTCCCTCTCCTCCCTCTCCCTCTCCTCGCGCTCGCGCCTCTCCTTGTCCTCCCGCTCGCGCTTCTCGCGTTCCTCGCGCTCGATCCTGTCGCGCTCCTCGCGCTCGCGCTTCTCCCTCTCCTCGCGCTCGATCCTGTCGCGCTCCTCGCGCTCACGCCTCTCCCGCTCGTCGCGGGCCTTGTCCTCGGCGATCCACTTCTCGCGCTCCTCGCGCTCCTTCGCCTCGGCTTCGCGCTTGCGGGCCGCCTCGGACTCGGCCTCGGCCTTGGCCTTCTGGGCGGCTTCCGCGTCGCGGCTCGTGGCCTGGGATCCAGCGGGAGCGGGCGTGGGCGTGGTGGTGGCAGGGCGACGGCCGCCACGGCCTCGACCGCGCGCCCTCGCCGCGGCCTCCTCCCGGCGCTTGCGTTCGAGCTCCTTGGCGCGCTCCTCCTCTTCGCTGATGCCCAGCAGGCTCTTCAGCGGCGAGAAGATCGAGAACGACGACGAGTCCTCCTTGGGCGCCGGCGAAGAGGCCGCGGGCGGGGTGACCGCAGCGGCAGCAGTCGGGGCGTCGACCGACTTGCGGCTGGGCGAGGTCGCCGAAGTCGAAGCCGGGGAAGCGGGGCTCTTCTCGGCGAAGATGTCGCCCTTGTCCTCGGTGCGCCTGGCACGCTGCGGGGACTTGACCGGCGTCGACGACGCCGCGACCGCGGAACCGTTGGGCGCCGATGATGCGGTGGGCGCGACCGAGTGTCCGCTCAGCTTGGACACAGCCGCGAGAAGCACTGCACGGTGGTGCACCAACCGCGTCAAGCGAGTTGGGTCAGTTTCATGCGCGCGGGGGGTGGGTCGAATTTGAGGGAGAAAGAGTGGAAGAAAACAAGGTACCCTTCCGGTGACCGGGGAGCGTGACGCCGATGGTGTCGAGATCGGCCGAATCCAGCTGCTGGACCACCAGGAGCGAGTCGTAGCCGTTGACCACAAAGTCATCGGCGTAGCGCTCGCACCCGCAGCTGCGCAGCCACTCTCCCACCTCGCCGGCCCTGCCAGCCGCCTTGACGGGCGTGGCCGACACGACGGCAGGCGCAGCCGCTGGGGCGACGGCCGCGGCGGCCTGGACCTGCTGCTGGAGGAGGGCGTGGGTCATCTCCTGCCACCGCCGGCGCTCCTCCTCGACGCGCCGCTCCCACTCGTCCTGCCGGCGGCGCCACTCGTCGTCCTTGGCCACGAGGTCCTTCCGCCAGCGCTCCTCGAGGCCGCGCTTGACCTCCTCCTCGCGCTTGAGCGACTCCTGCAGGGCCTCGTACCGCACGTCGGCCACCTTGCGGCGCACAATGTCCTCCACCTCGTCGCGGCCCAGCCCCTCCTTGACCACCTTGCCGCTGGTGGTGGCGCTGTTGCCGGTGGCGGCGGCGGCGGCGACGGAGGCGGAGGCGGCCGAGACGGAGGCGGCGATGGTCTCGCGGAGCTTGTCGCGCTCGTCATCGAACTTCTTGGTCCACGTGCGCTCCAGCTGGGCGAGCTCCTCCCGCTGCTGGTCCCGCTTCTCGCGCTCCCACTGCTCGCGCTCCACCAGCAGCTTCTTCACCACCAGCAGCTCGACCTCCTCCAGCTCAGGACCCAGCTTCACCCTGCAATAATGATAAAATAAATAAATTTAAATTTTTAGTATTTTCTAAACTATGAACAACTAGTAAATATTAATTTCCATTACTCGTATTTATTGGATATTATTGGAAGGAGAAGGGGGGGGGCGCACTTGAGCCATTCGTTGATTTTGGAGCGATTGGCGACCTCCTGGGCGAGTTCGGCCTCGAGCTCCTCAAACTTGGAGGAGACGTTGGTGTTCATGCGCTGGAGCGAGGGGCGGAGGGTGGTCTTGAGCCATTCGCTGATCTTTTCGCGTTCGGCCTGCTCCTCGCTCACCGTCAGCTTGAGCTTGATCACCTCATCCTTCAGCCCCAGCAACAGCTTCGTCTTCTTCACCGTCGGCGCGTCGTCCTCCGCCGCTGCCGCCTCCCTCTTCTGCATGATGCTGCTGAAGCCCTCTTTGCTCGGTTTCTCACTGATGATGTAAACAACGACCGGCACCTCCAACAGGACGGTGGTGGCAGCAGGAGCAGCAATGCACGACCGTGAGGCGATGTGTGGGGGTGGTGCAGCCGGCACTGAATTGTCCGCCCCACTTTCCGGAGGGCAAAGTGGCGGCGGAGCTTCCTTTTGTTCTCTTCTTCCTTTGTGTCGCGGTTGGTCGAAGCGTTATATTGAACAGGCAGCGGTGTTCCGGTGCTGAGAGGATGAGCAAGGGCGGGGTCGCTGGCGTGTGAGCTGTGATCCAGTCTGGTCGATCCCTCGATTGGTGGGTGGTCAGATGGGTGGTATTGGGTCGATACCATATCCCCAAGTGGACCTTGGCGCGACCAACCACAACAGAAAGGGGCAGCTGTCGAACCGACGACGCACAACTGCAGAACGCGAAATTTCCGAAGAGAAGACGCGAACCAGCCCACACACGCCACACCGCACGAGAGAACGCTGCAGCCTCCGGTGGTGTGCTCGCCTTCATACGCGTCTTCACCATCACCTATCCGACACCATCAACTCTCTGCTCTGTATCCGCAAGACACAGTACCCTATTTTCTCGCGAGGGACACGAGGCAAGCAAATCACAGAAGCGCGCCATCTGAACAATCGGCAAAGAGTTTTAATTTCTTGGAGCAAGTAGATGCCGCTGTGTAAACCAACAATTGCGGCGGGTAGCAAGCTGCAATGGGTCACAATCAAGCAGGACACCCATCTCGCCCTCCAAGAATGCAAAATTGGTACACTTCTCGGCTCCATTTGATCCGATTCACGTTTCTGATTTCCCCCTCCCCCAACGAGCAGTCGGCAAGTCGTGGTGGTCTTCAGGTGATGTCAGCTGGGGCTACCGCGTTATCATCACGGCCACCGAGACCCAGATAGGTGCGCCACCTCTTTCAAAGTGTTTGGTGGTGTAAGTGCCCTTCATACAAGTGACGACCCGCTCATAGATGTTCTTTTCTTGTTTTCGTTTGCTCTGCTCTCCAGCCTATGCGGGCGACATCACACAGATCGTGACCGACTGGGAGGTCTTACAGAAACTCGTGAGGTATCGCTTCCTTCTCACCACACCAGAACCCTTGGGCCTTCCCTTCTTCTCGTAGAGATGACAGCGCTCACGCCACGCCACAAACAGTGAGGAGCCGCCCTTGGACCCCGAATCATCCCCCGCGGCAAGCGCAGAGGTCATCGAGCGCATGCTGCAGCGGCGCTGGGACGAGAAGCAGGGCGGCAAGGAGAAACAGGACGGCGCCGAGAGCCAAAGCGGAAAGGAGAAGGAAAAGGAGGCCATCGTCACCGATAGCAGCAGCAGCAGCTCCTCCTCCAATACGCTCAGCGCCGAGGTGAAGCCCACTTTCGAGAAGCGGTCCAGCAGCCGCATCTTCTTTAGGTCGGGCTCGACCTCCAACGCGATCAAGCGGTTGGCAGTGGGCGCCAGCGAGAGCTCGCCCTTCCCCGGCATTCCGCTCCACCGCGAGGACCAGCCCTCTCCGCGGCTCGGTGGCGGCCCCAACTCGCCGCGCGCTCGGGCGGCCACAACCATAGAATCGCCCCGGTCAGCCGCCATGGGGAGAAGCCGAGACGAGGAATCGACCACGAAGCCGATTCCCGAGGCGGCCTCGGCGCAGAACGACCAGAGCGGGCGCGAGCGGGAGATGCGAGAGAAGTATGAGCGCAGCTTGAATGCCCTTAAGGACAAGGTCGCCGCGCCCCAACACGACGACGTACGTAGGGCCCTTTCTTGTGGCCCGAGTCTTCACGTTCTTGGTTGGGCCAACCAACCTCACATTCACGTGAATTTGTACGCGTGCGTGCGGGCCGATCAGCACTATCGGGTGTACGTCGACTGCATCAACAGCATTTTGCACGAGCTGCAGGCGGTGAAGAACATCAACGGCAAGGGATCGCCGGACGAGGTCCAGACGACGGTCGAGGTGCTGTGTCAGCTCTCGAGGACGTCCCTCGACGCGGCGCGCATGCTCGTGGCTCAGCAGAAGGCCACCCGAGAGCGGGTCGGCGTGACGATGCAGGTGACGGCGGCGGAGGAAGAGGGCAGCAGCAGCCGACCGGCGACGGAAGACGAGCAACAGAAGGCCAAGGAGGGGCAGGGCGATGCGGAGGTGGGAAGCGGTGACACGGAGAAGGCGATGAACTCCTCCGCGGTTGACCCCAGCGAGCAGGCCAAGCAAGAGGTCGACAAGAACAGCAGTGACGACGATGCCAAGAAGAGGCTGCAGCGGTGCGTGGAGCTCTTTACGGCGGCCAACAAGAGCCTGGCGTCGGTACGCTTCTCTTCTCTCTCTCTCTCTTTGCACGAGCTCCACTCATCTCACTGACGCCCAACCCATTCAGATGACGCAACCACCGAGTGATGTGGCCCAAGAGTGAAGGGGAAGTAGCGAAGTGGGACGAAAACAAGCCATTTGTATATATTTTTACATTCATCAGACTGGTGAGCTGCAGAAGCTCCTCCTACACACCGGTTCAGCCCCTTTCTGGGCCGTAGTACTCCTTCCATGGTAAGATGATCATTTTCGCTGCTGGTTGGCTCCGCACTCAGCCACTGGGTTCATTTGAATTTCGCCAGAATGCCGTGCGAAACAAGTGTGGACATGTAAGCCCACGCCAGCGGCGGTGAGCCAACAAAAGGCTACGTTCAGCCTTCGTTCTGCTTTTACACAACACAGCACTACCAGCACAACACATCACCCACTTCAAGGTACCCCTCGCAAGGAGAGTTGCTGAAGAGGACAGGCAGCTCACTGGATATACTTTGTTTTTTTCCCCACGCCTTGCGTAGATGAACTACGACGACTCTGAGGAACCCATCTTCAACCGCAACCTCGTGGTGCCCACCCTCCTCTTCGGCATCCTCTCTCCCGGTCTCCTCCTCACCCTCCCCGCCGAGTCTCGCGGCTTCTGGCTCTCTGGTACCCTCCCCCTTCCTCTTTCTCCTTCGCTAGAGCCTACTTCTGACTGAGTGCGCACAGGCCAAACCTCGACCCGAGCGATCGTGGCCCACACCATCGTGTTCGGCGCCGTGCTGGCCCTCGTCCGCAGCCTGTGGCCCAGCAAGAAGACCACCTCCAAGTAGGCTAAGCACTTATCAGCCCCCTGTGGGGGACGCCTGCAGCTACGGGAGACCTGGAGCCGCGAGTCGTTGCTATGCCTGCTGGGTGTGAGAATAAACAAACAAAACAAATCAACATGTTGATGGCTTTATTGGTCCATGTCCGTGTTGAAGTACTCCTTGCTCCCGACGGGGTCCGCTTTGATGGTCGCGTTGCCTGATGAAGGGGGGAGGGGGTAAGAAAGAAGGCATGAGAGGGGAAAAGCGGTGCGCTAGGTAGGGTACCGGGTGTCCAGTTGACGGGACAGGCCTCGCCGTCGTGGGCGTCGGCGTACTGGAGGGCCTGCACCAGCCGCAGCACCTCGTCCACGCTCCGCCCGACGGCGTCGTCATTGACCAGCACCTCGCGCACCACGCCGGCGTCGGAGACAATCACCACCGCACGCTTCGAGTGCCCGCACTCCTCATCAAAGACGCCGAAGCTCTTGGAGAGGGCGTGAGTGAGATCGCTGACGAGCGGCAAGACGAAGGGCTTCTGGTGGTCGCCCACGGGTGCGAGGCCGCCAGCATTGCGGGGCGTGCGCAGCCACGCCAGGTGCGTGTACTTGGAGTCTACCGAGACGCCCACCACGTCGCACTTGATCTGTGTTGGCAGTGCAGTGTGAGGCGCGTGCGTGGTGTGGCAGGCCTGACGGTAAGGGCAAGAAGGAAGTGGCACCGCGTCGAAGTCATCGAGGCGGTCGCTGAAGCCGATGAGCTCGGTGGGACACACGAAGGTGAAGTCAAGTGGGTAGAACACGAGCACCGAGTAGCGACCTGGGGGACGTACGAGAAGATTAATCTTCAAGCGGCATACACCTCGCATGGAACGGTGGTTATGGAGGGATGTGCACAGTGTGGTGGGCGAGATGATTTATCAGCACAGGTCTAATTGAGAGAAAATTGATCGCAATCCCCAACCTTTGTGGCGCGACTCGGCGAGCCGCCAGGTGGTAAGTGTGCCTCCGCTGGACACAGCATCTGCCGACATGCCGAGAGGAACCTTCGAATGCATGTCCAGCTTCGCGTCCGCTGTTGGTCGATGCGTCTCCTCTACTTCAGATCTTTGCCGTTTCTTTTGCTGCTGCGCCTCTAGAACCGTGGCGGAGGCGGTCGTCACCTCGGCATCTTCGTCACGCCTCCTCTTCATTTTGCTCCTCGTCGATTCAAGATTAATTTAAAACAAAATGACAACTTTTCCGCGCTCTTCTGGCTGTTGAACATTTTGGCGCGAAAGCCGATGTCCGCAAGAATTACATTTTTCATTTTCGCCGCACGATCATGGAGGTGGAGTGGACCTGCATCATGACGGCGCTGAGGTTGATGGCCTCGCTGATGTCCTTCATCCACGACTTGCGCTCGTTCTCCGACGAACAGGTGAACGTCTGCACGCAGGGTGGCGTGTCCGGCGCGGGATTGCGTTCGATGAGCTTGAACGTAACGTTGAGCCCCTCCTCAGCTTCTACAAACGTTTTAGGTCCGTCAGAATGACGTCGTGTGTGGTGTGTGTGTGGTGTGTGTGGTGTGTGTGTTACCTTCTTCGAGGGATGGCGACGAGACGAAGACTTTGGAGAACGGGATGATGTCCTTGTACTCGTACTGAGGCGGCTTCTGCTCCGCGGGCTTTTGGCTGAGCCCCAGTCGGGTGAGGTTGGTTGTGAGCCGGTGGGTGTTCTTGAGCGAGGTCTTGATGAGGAACTCGTCGAACATGAACACGTAGCACTCCTTCCTCTTCTTGCCGTAGGTATCGTACAACAGGCCCTCCCGCAGGAAGACCCGACCCTTCATGTGCTCCTCATCCAAAATCTGGTTTACACACAACACACGCGCAATATGAGGCGGTGACGTCGTGTGTGCTGTGTGTGGTGTGTGAAGTGTGTTTTGTGTGTCCACAGAACTGAAGGGGGTGAGGGCGTACTCGTGGAAGCTTGTGTTTGGGGGTGGAGAGGTGCGCCATGACGTGCTGGATTTTGCGCTTGTTGTCCTCGCGTCGCTTGGTCTCGTCGAGGAAGTTGAGCAACTCTTTGATCTTGTCCAGCGTGGTGACAAGCTCCCGGTAGTCCGAGTGGTTCGATGGCGTGTGCTTGGTGAGCGTCGAGAGCAGCATCTTGTGCCCGCGGAAAAAGAGAGTGCGTCAGCAAGCGATCGTCAGTCACGCCATCAGCTTCATCGATGGAGAGGTGATTCCCACCTCGTATCGTGGGATGCGCTGGATGGGCAGGATCAGGTGGAATCCCATATCGGCGCCACCGGCCGCAGCGCAGAATCTGAGCACGTGGGCCTGCACGGAATGAGATGATTTGTCGTGTGGTCAATCTCTCCTGCGCTCTGTGTGCGCGAGGTCCAGGGGCCGTACTGAAAAGTCAACGTGCTGAGCGCGCAGCAGTTTGATTCGCTCGCGCATCATGTCGTAGTCGGTGATGTAGCGTTGGTACTCCTGCGGCCCCGTGTTGTGTTGTTCGTGTCGTCACTTCCTCCGCCAACAAAAACGAAAAGAAGCGTCCTGGTACCTGCTTCAGCTTGGGCAGGATGCGTTGGAAGAGGTCGCCCACCTTCTGGGACTGAGTGTCGCCGGACCATTGCGCCATCCGCCCGTTGAGGTCAGCCCTGCAGGGTCCCCAGGGTCAGAGCCCACGACCACTGAGGTCCGTGACCAATGCGGGCGCCGTACAGGAATTCCTTGGATAGATCGACCAGGTTGGCCCAGCTCTCGAATTGCTTGGCCAGCAGGCGGTCGGAGTCGAGCAGCTCCTGTCCCCACCTGGCCTTCCGCAATGGCTCTATGAACTGTCACACACGCGCAATCCATTACTCCACACGTAAGCATGGCTAGCCCGTGTGGGCGATAGTGCGTGCGGTGGTGTGTGCGCGTGTGCGAAGAATGATGACCGTACGTCGGCGAGCACCATCTTGAGCTGGGTGCAGTACACAGTCTCGGTCGAAAGAATCTCGTTGATCACGTTCATGCGCATCTTTTCCTGCTTCTCGCGCTCCGCGCCCGTACTCTCGGTCAACGTCGGCGGCGACGAGAACGACCGATCACGCGTGATGCCGACCTCACCACTGAGCGCGCCGCGCGGGGACACGGGGCCGCTTCGCTGCGCCCAGTGCGAGTCCAGGTCGGCAGACGACGCCGAAGGCGTAGCCGGGCTAGCGTTGAGCGCGGAGGAGAGCGAGTCTACGAACACGAGGATGCTGGCATCGATCAGCGCCCGCATTTTGTCGATATGCGCATTCACGGCCGAGTCCTGCTTGCCGATGTCAGCCTGCGTGACTGAGAGGAGTTGGTGCGAGAGACGCTTGAGCTCCACGCCCTCCTGTGGAATGAACCGAATGCGAGTTAAAAAATGATAAATATATAATCGCCAAAGCACTTCTTTTCCTCGTTCAAGGTGGTGGCACCACATACGTGAACCAGGCCGGCCGTTGCAGAGTACTCGCTGATGCTGTCGAGAGTGTTGAGCATGTCCTTGGCCGTTCGGATGAACTCGTGCTTGTCGCCAGTGCGGGCCAGGCCTAGTGATCTTCGGAGTCAGTCACAACCCACTGCACCTGCCGCGTTGATGTGTGGTGGTAGTGTGAAGCTGTAAGCTTACCTGGCAGCTGAGACCCCATCGCGTGTGCCTTGGCGCAGAGGCTGCCGTAGGAGAGCGCGGGGGAGCTGTTCTTCTCCAGTTGGCGCTGGTTCTTGACGTTGAGGTTCCACGACTGCACGGTCATCACAAGTTCCTTCACCGACTCCGCCACAGCGGCGAAGTGCCCGTCCAATTCTGTGTTTAACGAAATGCGAAGAAGATGTCAGCTGTGGTCGTCGCACACTCGTGGCCAACGACGACGACGACAACCCACCGTCTATCTCCTTGGCGCTGGGTGGGCTGTCCCTGGCCAGAGTCACGATCGATGTCTTCACCGAGCGCTCCACAAGCGACGTCAAATCTGATATTCGTGGTGGAGAATCAGCACACCAAGTGCAGAAAGAGCGAAAAGCGAAGGACGAAGAGCGAAGAGCGAAGAGCGAAGAGAACGCTGCACCCTCGGTGAAGTTTTTGAAGTTGGCGAGGGACTTCTTGTGCTGGAGGTACAGGCGCATGTCCTTCTTGAGCTGCTCCTCCGTGCCGTACTTGTTGGCCGACGACTGCTTCTTGAGCTCCTGCGCCTTCTTTCGCAGCTCGCCGGCGTCCTTCGTCAGCCTGTCGCCCTTCTTCTGCCACTCTTCAGCCGAAAAGCCCACGCCCACGGCCGCGCCTGTCCACGCCACCGCCGCCTCCTTAAGCTCGAGGCACCCGCTCACCAGCTGCTGGCACTGGGCCAGCACCGACGTCACCACGCTGTGCCGCTGCGGCGGTGCCGGCAACGGCCGCGGCTGCAGCGCAGACCCTCGACCGCGCGGCGCCACCGCGGACCCTGAGCGCTGGGCCAGCAGCACGCCCTTGCGCGTCGACGGCGGCGGTGGCGGCGGCGTCCGCTTCGGCGACGACGACGGCGAAGTGGAAGTGGAAGTGGACGGCGAGGACGATGGCGATGGCGATGCTGGCGATGACGATGATGAAGTGGAGGAGGGATTGGGGATGCGTTCGACGCGGTGGCGCGGGAAGCGGCCACGGCGGCAGCTGCCGGTGAGGATGTGGCCCTCGCACCAGTCGCCCGGCCCGAGCCGCACCACCTGCAGCACGTCGCCCCGCCGGAGCGACAGCTCGCCCTCGGCCCGCGCTGCGTAGTCCGCCACCGCGCGGCAGTAGTACTCGTGGCACACCTCCACCACCACCTCGAACGCCGCCTGCGTGGCCGCGGTGGGCCGCTGCGGGGTACTGGGCTTGGTGGTGGTGGCGCGTACGGTGCCGCCGCCGGCCCGCACGCTCTGGCGGCCGAGGGAGAAGGGGGGGAAGACGGTGGTCACTGACCCCGACGGCGCGAGCACGTCTTCGAAACGCCGACGTCGCTGCTCCACCATCCCCTTCGTTGACGAAGGAGGCTCCATCTCCATCAATGAATGTTTTTCTCCTCTTGCGAATCAAGGTGACCACCTCTCGTCGTCACGTAACTAACCTTCTTTGTTGCTGTTGTCGCACAGTAAATTAATTGGGACACAATTTAAATAAGAAATACATTTACAATTTCTAATAAATAATAATTCTTTTCTCTTTGTGCTCTTATCTTTTTCTGTACAATATTTATTTTAAAAAAAGCCGCGGCAAGATCACTGTACGCCGACCAGCTTGATGGTAAAGGCGGTCTGGACCTGAAGGAGCGGAGGCAGATGGGCGATTTCGGGCAGGACGATGGCGAGGGTGTTGCCGTTCAGCTTCCACGCGAGGTTGCCACGGTAGCCCAGCAACTGGGCTACCATGTTGGGCGACTGCGGCACGACCTGGGTCAGGCGCAGTACGCTCTCCGCGGGCCACGCGTAGAAGATGGCGTAGGCCGTGCTGTTCGACCACTTGGGCGCCGTGTACCAGACCGAGGAGGCCGTATCGTTCTGTGACCTCCACGGCTTGGTCGCGTAGATGGCCTCGCCGTTGAAGTCCAGCCAGGTCCCGATCTGCAGTAGGCGCTCCTCGTAGACCGGCGTGATGATTCCGTCACTTCGAGTGCGCGTTGCATTTGCGTCGGGTCAGTACGAAGCCCATACAAGCTCACACAAGAGGGCAAGGGGAGCAAACCTGGTGGGACCCACGTTGAGCAGGAAGTTTCCGTTGCAGGCGACGGTGGAGATCAGCTCCTGCAAGAGCTGGTCGATGGTCTGGTAGTCGCCTATGCCTCCATTGCGCGCATAGCCCCTGTGTGTGTGTGTGTGTGTGTGTGTGTGTGTGTGTGTGTGTGTGTGTGTGTGTGTGTGTGTGTGTGAGAAACTGATGAGAGACACCTTCGCTTCGCTTCAAGTCCAGTCCGCTGCGTGAGGGTTGGTGTGCAGTCAGTACCAGGTGCGGGAGTCGATGGTGAAGCAGTTCTCCCACTTGTGCTCCTGCAGCACGCCCGGGTTGTAGCGATCCGTGCAGGTCCAGTAGCCACCGTGCTTGCAGCTGTCGTCCTTGCCCCATCTGTCGTTGGTCACCACCGTGTCGCGGACCGGGCTGTCGTTGTAGAGCCATGCCAGGAACTCCTTCGACTTCCAATAGGTGTCGTACATCTCCCAGTCGCCATCGGCCCAGATCTTGAACGCGAGCCGATGAAGCATCAAGTTCAGACCAAGGACCGTAGAAGTAGTGGTAGGGTTGGGTTGAGTGCGGTGCGTACGATTTCGGGCTTGTAACGGTTTACGATGTCGTGCAGCTGGGGCTGTAGGATGGTATCCACGTAGACCGTGGTGCTGCCGTTGTTGCTCCTGTCCGTCACATAGAGGGGATTGAACCACTCAAAAAGGCTGTGCCGCAGACGCTGCGTTAGACAGCGTCCAGTGTTCCCTCCAAAGTGCCGCAGTTACCTGTGGTAGAGCCCCATTCGCAGGCCGCCTGCCCTCACGGCCTCAGTCACGAGGCCGACGTTGTCCTGGCCGGGACCTGCGCAAGCACTCAAGCAACAAATGACCGTCAGCGGCCGGTCGACCGCACGAGGAATCGCAAAGGAATGCAGTGACACGTACCGACATCGGCGCTGTTCCAGTTCCAGGATTGAGGCGACGGCCAATTGGTGAAGCCCTCGTGGTGCTGCACCGCGCACCGGTTTGAGGCATGAGAACAACAAAAGGAACCAACTGGGGAGTCCAGGTGCGATGGACTGACGGAAGGAAATGCACCTTGCTGGTGAGCACCACATACTTGGCGCCGCTCTTCTTGAAGAGGTTGGCCCACCTGGCCGCGTCGAAGAGCTCAGCACTGAACCCCTTCGCAAAGTCTGTGCGTGGACCGGTCACCCATCAGACCAGCTGCTCCAGCCAAGGTCGAAACTGAAACCACAAGTTCCCACCACCCAGCACGTACCGGCGTACTTAAAGTTAGGGCCGTACGTCTTGTTGTGGAACTCCTGGATGCACCCGTTGCCGGCGCCCGTCTCCAGTCCATTCCTGAGCACCTTCCGCCGTAAGTTGTGGGGTCACAGCACACCTCGTGAGAGGCAGAAATAAAAGGAACAAATACTAAGGACAGGGAGGAGGGCCACGCACCAGTACCACTCGGCAGCCACGCCACCGCACGAGTAGCTGGGCACGCTGAACACGCCCCAGTGGATGAAGATGCCAAACTTGGAGTCGTCGTACCTGGAGTAGCGAGGAGCAGCAGAACAGAGGCGTATGGGCACCACATGTGAAGAAGAACGGAATGAAGCAGGGTTGTGTGCAAGAGAGCATGTGTACCAGGAGGGTAAGGGGCGGGCGTCGAGGGAGCCCCAGGTCGGTTGGTACCGCGCCAAACACACCAGAGGCAGACCTACGGTGACCAGCACCACCAGCAAGCGCCACGACGCCATGAGCTTTGGTCGCTTCTTGTCTTTTCAGAAAACAGAGAAATAGGGGCGTCAAGGACTTGAACCCTGGGAGTACGAGGAGCCAGACTCCCTGTAGACCGTCAACGATCGACCCACCCCTGCTCCTGCGCGCAACTAAGAGGAGGAAAGATGGGAGTCCCCAACGTCTTTCTGCGAAGAAGACAAGCTGGGGTTTTGCCGTTCACTTATTGAATGATCGGCAACGAAACTTGTTGATGGAGAGGAGAGGAGAGGATGGGGCTGAGCTGCTGCCCCGGTGGGCCGAGGAGGAGCGGCGGGTGCAGGGACGATACAGCGCGCTACGGCGGCGCAGGAGGGTGGACCGGCTGGTGGGGCTGAGCGCAGAGGTCATCGGGCGGCACCTGGACGACGTGGAGAGCTTCGAGGGGGTGGGCGAGGAGCTGGTGATGCTCGTATGGCTCCACTTCCTCCACCAACCCCGCCACCCTCCCGATCATCATGAAGATGAAACCCACAACCACCAGCCGCCCGCGACCGTCGACGAGTTGTCCCAGCAGACCAGGGGGGTGGTCCTACACGGGCTGGCGGCCGATCTGTGGCCGTGGGCCGAAGACTTGCTGGCCTTCACCTTCATGAACGTGGAGGGCTTCAGCGAAGAGCGGCTCGTGCCGCTGCTCGTGGTGGCCCAGCCGATCGTCAACAACACGCCGCTGGTGGGCGGCCGGGAGGGGCGGCCGTCGCGGGTGATGCTGACGCCCGACGAGGCGGAGCGGGTGTTCAAGCGCTTCAAGAAGAGTGCGATCGCCTACTTCTTCTGCGGCGGAGGGACAAAGGGGAAGAAGAAGAACAAGAACAAAAGCGTAGAAGAAAACGAGGCAAAGAAGGAGAGGGACCTGTTCAAGAAGGCGAAGAAGAGGCACCTCTACCATACCGACAAGTGGCAGATCAGGGAGGACCGACGCGACCAGCTGCTGACCCTCATCGGCACCGACAGGATGGACATCTACTCTCATGTACTCCGCTGCGCCCACCTCTCCCAGGGTGGCGGACTGGCCACACTTGGCCGTTTTTGAACATGTACCACTACTACCCTAGCTCGTGTGGGTCGCGGTTGATGGTCGGTGGTCGATGCTCTTTATGTGTGCCGGTGTTCCTCGAGGACAACTTGACCAGAGAAGAGTGCATCGCATCAGTAGTAGGACGAGAGGGTGGAAGTGGTGAAGGAGCCAAAGTCCTGCGTTTCGTTCCAGCGCGTGGCCAGAGGCGGCACGCCCTTGGGCAGGTGCTGCGCGCCCGAGCCTCGGGTGGCCTGAAAGGGGAGCGGGGAGTGCGCACGACGCACGGGTCAGAACGTCAAGCTCCATGGACCAGGAAGAGATGTGAATCCGAAGTCGTACCATATCAGGTTCAACGCCGGCGGGCACGGTCATGGATTCGTCCCACATGGGCTCCATGAAGACGGCCATCGTCTCCCTGCTCACGCCGCGAGCCTTCTCGCCCGCCGCACCTCGCACGCAGTGCGGCGTAGCCTGCAGGTAGCCTCCGCTGTGGATGCACGCCGTCTCGCCTGTACCACCGCACCCGGTAAATAGACATCACATTCCTCAATCCACACCCAGCTCGTGGCACTCGCGCAGCACACGCATCACACAACAGCAGCAGCAGCTGAACGAGGATAGGTGGGTACCAATTTGGAAGACCATGTACTCGGAGGGGATGACGGCCTTGACCAGATCGCCGTTCCTGGCGCGAATGTAGAGACCGGACGAGGAGTCGGGGTTGGTGACCTCGGCGCCCTCCTTGCTCATGTACATGGCCGGGACGAGGCCCGTCAGCGAGCCGTGATCGTTATGCCAACCGCACCACGAAGAGACGTCGGCCTGTGCCAGATATGACGCGCGTTCAGTTACACGGGCACGAGCGCTCACTCATTGCGCAACGAGCACGTACATCGTGGGTGGACTGGCAGCTCTTCTCGCCACACTCGTCGCTTGTGAATTCCTCGATGGGGAAGTAGTGAAGGGCGCGGCCCTTGGCCGTTCGGCTCTCCCGCACAATACGCTCGAGCTTGCCCTCCTCGAACGCCGGACACTGCTTCTTCACGAAGATGTCGCACTGTACACGCGACGTCATGGCAGGATGGTGGTGGTGGTTAGCATGCATTACGTGCAAGTCAGCCCGCAGACAGTAACGAAGAAGCTTACCTGTTTGGCAATGAGCAAACCCACGTCCACGAGCAGCTTGCCCATGTTCATGAAGCCATCCCTGAACTCTGGCATGCCCTCGGGCCAGATGTTGGGGTGGCAGAACGAAGGGTACCTGCATGCAATGATGACGATGATGGCGTGGTGTGGTGGTTAGACAACGCGCTGCGCCTCGAGGGGAACGGTGACATAAATGGGGCGCACGCACTTCTTGATGAGCTCCTCGTCGTCGAACGGACGGTCGTAGACGGGGTTGTTGTAGTAGGAGCCCTTGGAGAAGTCGGGCTTGCCCTCGAGCACCTCCTTGCCATGGGACCAGCCGAAGCTGTAGCTGCTCTCCAGGTGCTCTGTCTTCTTCTTTACCTCCTCGGGCTGGGTGGCGAACCTGCAGACATAGAAGAGGACCGGGGTTGGAGATCAGCGGCTGAACGAACGGTCGAGTAGAGCAGTACACGCGTACTTGTGGATGAGAGGCAGCAGTTCACCACGAAGCTGCATGAAGTTGGGCACGCCACGAACGGCGAGGATACCCAGACCGTTGAAGCCGTAAGCCTCTTCGATCGCTGCAGACAGGTCTACCTGCAATTGGAACAGAATTGTTGCAAAATGGAATCAAAAATCGTTAAGTTGGTCCAGCCCTAACAAAAATCTCTCATCAATCGATGAGCACCAAGCGAAAATCGTAAATTGAGATTTTTGGTACATTGGGTTGCTCGAGGTCGCTGTAGTTGAGCACGACAACGCGGCGGGGCTCCTTGCCGTCAACCGGTGCCTGAAGGTACTCAACGTTCTCCATCAGTGTTGTGTGCGTTGTGTGCAAGAGCTGTACAGCAAGAGTATCGGCGAGCTGTACGACCCGGAGAGTTCGTCACGGTGGGAAAAGAGAGTAGAGGAAGATACCGCGGGATGAAATTCGCCCGGCCTGCCCACCGACGTTTCGCCCCACCCCTCGCCTCCGTGATTGGTCTGGCTTGGTGCGAAAGAGCGGGAGCGAAAGTCAGAGCGAAAATCTTTAGTTCGTTCTGCCATTGGGCAAACAGAGGCAGCTGTCACAGAAAGTAACGCAGAATTTTGGCATTCACTGTCGCAACTCTCACGTTAGGTTGTACAATGTTGTACCGGGACGACACCTTCCAAAAGGACCCTCCCTGGAGGCGAGCAACAAGTTAGTGTTGGCGTGAAGGCGCTCGAATAAATAGTATGGTTTTACAGAGAAGCCAATTAAGTGCGCAGCTACATCTTCAAGGACTTGTGGCACTCATTGCACACGCGAACAGGGCGCGTGTGCGATATGGAGGGGATGATGGCCTGCTGGGCCGAGCACGCGCCGCAGAAGACGCCACCTGTACACAGCGTCATCATGGGAGTAGGTGAGACATGATGGTGAGTCTTGCCAGTCTGGCAAAGAGAAGAGAGGCCCGGCCGGCCACGTACCACAGCTGCGGCAGTGGTGCTTCCGCCTGGTGATGCCAAACGAGTACTCGCACGACGGACACTGCTTTACAGCCTCGTCCGGTACCCAATCCCTCGATCCCTGCGTGTGCGTGGTGGTGTGAGTCGAGGCCGTAGGCTGCTACAGCCCACCAGAGGGGAAGAGGCACGATCATCATTAAGACTATCGCTATTAGTACCTCGTCGGCGCTGAGGGTAGCGGTCATGGTGCCGGCGGGCGAGGAGAGGGCCACGAGTTGCTCGCGCTGCAGTTGATCGATCAGGAAGCTCTTCTCGGTCGCCTCCTGCCTGAGCTCCGCCACCTCCGATTCCTTGATGGCCAGCAGCTTGTTGAGCACCTCAGCCTTCTCCTTGTGCGTGGCGGTGATGCCCTCGAGCTCGGCGATCTTGAGCCGGGCCTCGTCGGTCGCCTTCCGCAGCTTCTCCTCGTATCGCTTGGCCTCGTCCTCCTGTAGCTTGGCCTTGGCCTCGCGCTCCTTCTTCAGTTCGTCGCTCACCTCGCGTTCCTGCTTCTTCACGATCTCCATGGCGTGCATCAGCTCGGTGCACTCCTTGAGCGTGCGCTCGACCAGCAGAAACGACTTGGCGAGCTCCTTCGTCTTGCTGTCGAGCTCGCCGCGCATCTTGTTCCGCTCTTCTATCGCCTTCTCCTGCTCGCGCCTGGCGTCCGTCGCCAGCCGGTTCATCTCGTCCAGCTCGGCTTCCTTCTCCTTGACCTTCTGCTTGAGCGCCTCCCTGGCCTCGTCGAGCTCGCGCTCCCTGCCCCGGGCCACACTGCTCTCCTCGGACTCCCGGGCCTTGGCCTGCTGCTTGTACTGCCTACGCTTCTCCTTGGCGCGCTCGAGCCGCCCGCGCACCGCCACCAGCTCGCGCTCGTGCTCCCGCGCCAGCCGCTCCCTCTCCTCGGCCAGCTGTTGCAGTTGCAGCTTGGCCCTGCGCTCCTCGTTGAGCTGCTGCTCGCCGCTCCGCTCCATGCGTAGGATGTCCTCGATCTGGCGCCGCATCTCCTCCACCTCCCGCTTGTTCTCGGCGTCTCGCTTGGCGAACGCGCTCTCCTTCTCCCGCTCGCCGGCGAGCTGCGCGGTGGCCTTGGCCAGCGCGTCGTGGGCCTCCAGCTGCAGCCGCCCGGCCAGCGCTTCGGCCGCCTCGAGCTCTCGGATCCGCACGTCGCGCTCGGCGACGGCCGACCGCCACTCCAGCTTCTGCTCCTTCCTGAGCTCGCGCTCGTGGTCGGTCTCGCGCCTGGTCTTCTCCAGCTCCTCGCCCCGGAGCTCCAGCAGCCGGCCCTTCACCTCGAGCTCCTCGTGCAGCTCGCGCAGCTCCTCCTGCTGGGTCGCGATCGCCTTCTCCTTCTCCTCCACCGCGCTCTCCAACCGCCGCTTTTCCTCGTCCGCGTCCTTGGTCACCTGCGACCAGCTGGGCCTTGAGCTGATCGACCGCCTGCTGGCCCTCGCTGGCGACGCCCTCCTTGGCCGCCTCCAGCTCTCCCAGCAGCTCGGCTTCTCTGCGGCCGTGTCGCTCCTCCAGCTCGCGCGCCCTGGCCTCCGCCGCCTCGGCCCGCTCCTTGAGCGCCGCAGATGCCTGCTCGGCCTGGGCCATCCTCTCCCGTCCGGCCTGTTGCTCCGCCGCGCTTCGCTCCTCGGCCGCGGCGAGCTTGCTCGCCAGCTCGCTCTCCCTCTCGGTCAGGCCGTCGATATGCTCCTGGCTAGCGACGCGGGCCTCGGCGAGCGCCCTTTGCAGCTCCTCGGCCTCGGCCCTGACGCTCCGCACCCGCAGGTCGTCCTCCGCGCTGCGCGTTTCGAATTCCTGCCGGGTGCGCGCCAGCTGCGCTTCCTTCTCCGCGAGGGCGGCCTTGAGCTCATCCTCGCGTCCACGCAGCTGTTCGATCTCGCTCTCCTTCGCGGTCAGCCTCGCCGCCAACGCTTCGATCTCGCTTTCTCTCCGCGCGTTGGCCTGCGCCAGTTCGGCCTCGGTCTTGGTCTGCAGTTCCTTCGCCGCCTGGCCGGCCAGCTCCGCCTCGCTCAGCCGTCGCTGCAGTGCCTCTTGCTGCTCCGCCGCCTGCTTAAGCTGCCTCTCCTTCGCCTCGAGCTCCGCGCTCAGCCTGCTTCGCTCGGCGCGGTCCGCCTCGCCCTGCCTCTCCGACTCTGCGCGCAGCTGCTGCAGCTCGCTGATGACCGCCGCCTCCTTAAGCGATGCGGCCGCACGGAGCGATTCAGAGTCGCGCGCCGTCTGCGCCAGTTCCTGCAGCTCGACGCGCAGAGCTTCGGTCTCCTTCGCGCACTCCCGGCCGCGCCGGTCCTTCTCGTCGCTCTCCTGCTTGGCCGCCTCCACGGCCCGCTCCAGCGCGCCGACCTTCTCTTCGAGCGCGCGCCTGAGCTTCACCTCCTCGAGATCGCTGCCCTCGCGTCCCTCGAGCCGGTGCTGCATCTGAATGATCTCGCGCTCCTTCAGCTCCGCCTTCTCCTCGGCCCGCTTCACCTCCCGCTCCATCTTCTCGTTCTCCATGCGCAGGTTCTCCGCCTCGCGCGCGAGCCGCTCCCTCTCCTGCTTCTCCTGCTTCCGGGCCTGCGTCTCGCGCTCCAAGGCGCCCGCCTTGGTCTCGCTCTCCTTGCGCACCGCAGCCAGGTCCTCCTCGACCCTGCGCACGGCCTCGGTCTTGAGCTGCAGCTGCTGTTCGAGCGCCTGCCTCGCCTGGGCCTCCTCGCCCTCCTTGTCCCGACGCTTCTGCAGCTCGGCCCGCAGCTCCCCAAGCGCGGACTCGAGGTTCTGCTTGGCCTCGTCCACCGTCATTCGCTCCTGCGCCCTTTGCTGCAGCTCGGCCTCCTGCTGTGCTCGCTCCTGCTCCCACAGTCGCTGCGCTTCGGTGAGCTCGCCGACCTGCGCGTTCAACCGCTGCACCTCCCCGCGCGCGACTTCTAGTTCGTCGCTCGCACACTTGTGCAGCGCTTCCGCTCGCGCCCTGTCCTCGCTCCGCACCCGCTCCGCGTCGGCCAGGCGCTCCCGATCGCTCGTCGCCTCTTCCCGGACACGCGCGAGTTCCTCGGTGAGCTCTCGCACCTTTGCCGCGAGCCCCTCACTCTCGGCGCTCGACTGCTGGACCGCGCTCTCGCTCCGCTCGAGCTCTTGGCCAAGCGTTAGGACCCGGTCGGCCTTCTCCTTGACGCTCTGCTCCAGCGCGCTCTTCTCCGCCGCGAGTTCGTCGAGCTGCGCGCGCCACTGGCGTTCGCGCTCCTCGAGCTCCTGCTGGTCTTTGGCGCGCGCGCCACTGCGCTTGTCGTGGGCCGCCTTCTCCTTGGCCCACTCGTCCCGCACTCGCTCGTGCTCTTCGATGTGCCGCCTGAGCTTGTCGATGTGCTCCTGCTTGGCCCGGGCCTCGTCGTCGCGCTCCTGCGTGACCCGCGCCAGCTCCCTTTCCAATCGCTCGATGTCCCGTTTCTTCTCCTTGACCGCGCGCCTGCTCTCCTTCTCGGCCGCCAGCGACAGCAGGTGTTCGCCCTCCTTCCGCCGCAGGGTCTCCTCCAGCTTCTCCTTCTGTTCCTCCAGCTTGCGCTTTTCCTGTCTCCTCGAGTTAGTGGTGCGCCATATGCGGGCGCGCGCGATGCTGCGTTGAAGCTCAATTGATTGACTGTACCTCGCCTAGGCGCCTTCGCTCCATTTCGTGGTCCTCTTTGGCCTCGCTGAGTTGCATCTCCATGCGCGCGATGACCTCCTGCTTGTCGCGGATGAGCTGCCCCTGCTCCTCCACGCGCCTCCGCAGCTGTTCGTTCTCGCCGTCCTTCTGCCGGCTCTCGCTCTCGGCGCTCTGCAATCGCTCACGGACGTCGCTCATCTCTTCCTTGACCTCCTTCAGCTGCTCCAGCTCGAGCCGCAGCTTGTCCAGCTCGACCTCGAACGCGGCCTTGGCACCCAGGTCGGGCGACCGTCGGTCCTCGGTCGTCTCCCGCGACGAGTCGTCCCACTCCTCCATTTCGACCAGCGTGTAGGCCTTCAGGTCGTGCGGCAGAATGTCGAAGTCGATGTCCTTCAGGCACAGGTTGAAGTTGATGGCCGACAGCGGCGACAGCAGGTCGATGCACTGTTTCATCTCCACATTGGAGCGAAGAACGGCAAAGTTCTCATACCAGTCCTTTTGGTGAAGAGGGGCCGAGGGTTGATCAAAGTAAGCACTGACAGCCACATCGCACATAAGAACGATGAAAGAAGAAGAAGAAGAAGTGGAGCTCACCCTGGTGATGGATTGATCGGCGGCCAGCGACCTGAGGTAGACGTCCAAGCACTTCTCCATCAGCGCGTAGCGAATCCTGCGTGGTCTCCGAGGGTTAGCGATGCTTGGCGCAGCGACTCGGCGAATGCAGGCGGAAAGCAGACGCGCGGCGAACCATGCGCGTCCTCGGCCGAGGAGCGTCTTGATGTGTGGCATCTCGGCGATGGACTTGATGCAGTCGGAAGCGGATGGGTCCACCCGGACCAGCAGCTCCACGTAGTTCCAATAGTCCTTCTTCGTGAAGAAGCTGCTCTTATCTGCGCACTGCGTGTAAGTGCGTAACTACCAAATAAAACAACGACAAAATAATGAATAATACAAAAGTAGTGGTGAGGAAGGAGAACCCTTGAGTCCAAAGCGGAGGATGAGCTCGACCACGAGACAGAGCCGGTCCAGCTGGGGAGTGGGATCGTTGATGGAGGCACCCTCTTCATCTTTGCACGACTGGAGGAAGTAATCTATCGAGATTTTGAGCTCGTTCAGAAGGTTCCTTCGTTGCTGCCACTACAATAAACAAAGTATCGTGCAATCAGCACCGCATGGTGTTTAATGCCCAATTCACAACAATAATATATAAATTTTTCTGAATTATAAATAAACTCCAGCAATTGGCAGGCACACGCACTCTTTTATCAGCCATCAAGGAACCTATCTTCCTCCGAGCAGCTGCTAATCTCTGGCGCGGCCGATGCAGAGGACAGGTTTTTCGTTCGAGATGTCGCGCAACAATCTCCCAAGGAAAAGAGAGAAAGGGAGAAAATCTAAAAAGAAATTGCTTCTCGGTCAAATTAACGGCCAGCGCGTTTGACGGTTGTGACCTCCTTTCCTCTCTGCCCACCACACCGATAAGACCCAGAAGATGAAGCGAGGAAGATCATCGTCGCGAAAGGAGAAGGAAGTGAGCTCCGACTCGTCCTCCAGTGAGGAAGAGGTTGCGGTCAAGAAAAAGAAGACGCCCGCCACGAAGAAGAAGGCCAAGACTGCGGCAAGTCCGGCCAAGAAGAAGGCCAAGACCTCTAGCTCCGATACGGAGGGCAAGAAGCCGAAGAAGCAGAAGACGAAGAAAGACACTGCGAGCCCGGCCAAGAAGAAAACCACCGCCGCCGCCAAGAAGAAGGCAACGCCCACCAAGCGGAAGACCAAGAAGCAGAAGGAGGCCGAGGCAGCTGCAGCGGCTGCAGGGCCGGTGGAAGAGTGGAAGGAGCTGCCGTGGACCTACGAGTCCTTCCTCCCCGCCAGCCGTCTGCAGGCCCACTGCCAGGCCGTCGACAAGAAGAAAGGTGCCAGCCATTTTATTTTTATTTTTATTTATTTCTAAGTTTTTATTTTATTTTCAATAATAGAAATCAGAAATAATAATATTCGTATAATTTGCTCTGGGCTAATGTGTTGCTTTGCGCGGCGTTGCAGAGGGCTATGTGTCGCTGCACCAGTTCAAGCGTATCTTGTCGGCCACCCTGCCCATGGCCGAGTTCAGCGGCAAGAAGGAGGTACGCGCACCGTGGCGGCCGTCCCGTTTGTTGTTGACCTCATCAGCTCATCAACATCGATCGTGGGTGTAATGCGTGTGGGCAGCTGGATCGCATTACCGCCGCGGCGGAGTCGTTAGTGCGAAAGGGCTTCGTGCCCTACACGTTACTCAGGGGTGCGTTGCGACTCTACGTCGTATGATCACACTACCATTAGGCCCTAACATTGGCTCTTCCCTTTCCTCATCAGGCTCGGCGCCGGCGTCAACCGCAGCGGTCCTGATGGGTAGGCGTCGTGCATTGTTGAGTACTGGCGTTTGATGTGTGACACGAGTGGCTCACCACTGAATTGGCGCGTTGTCGTGGCCGCAATGTGTGAACAGCCGACGATCCGGTGGAGATCTTCAAGCGCGGTCTGAAGACGAACCCCAAGAGCGTCACGCCCGAGCAGATCGACGCGATCAAGGAGGACGAACGGCAGCTCGACAAGCTCAAGCATCAGCACCTGCTTCACTCGCTTGCCAAGAAGGAGAAGCACAGCGAGTTCTCTGTCGCCGCTGCCGCCATCCTCCTCGCCATGGGCGTTGAGGTCGACAACAGGTGACCCCCTCTCTTTAGCTCGGTCGCCTCGCCCTCCGCCAGCTGGCTCACCCGTTTTCTTCTTCACCACACTGGCGGCGCGTCACTACCGCTTCCCAGACTTTCAAACGGAGCGACGCCGTTCATCGTGGCCTGCAAGCAGCGTAATCTGCAGGCCGCTCGCTTCCTGCTGGACAACGGAGCCGACATCAACGCCGCAGACTTGGAGAAGATGACCGGTGCACTGCCTTTCATCGGCTTCGGGCGCACTGTTCCCCCCCCCGGTGCCAGTGTCTCGTTGCTGACGTCAGCGTCCAATGCAGGTCTCTACTGGGCCTGCGTCCACGGCGACCTGGAGCTCGTCAAGCTGCTGCTCGAGCACCGCGGTAAGAGCGATGGCTCGGCCGCCGACGCTGCTGACGATCAGCCCATCGTCGATGTCAATACCACCACCGAGGTCCGTGGGATAGCTCCCTACAGATCAGGTCCGTACATGCATGGGCTCTGGCGAGTGCGGGTGGTATGTTACCATTGATTGCTCACAGCGGTGCCGTCGACGGCACACGCAGGTGGTCTCAGCCCGTTGATGGTTGCGATTCAGGCTTGCAGCCACCTCTCGGCGCAGCAGGTGCAGAGCATGAAGAAGGAATACGCTAAGAAGCGGGAGGTGCGGTGAGCCAATGATGAGCAAACCTCCCGCTCTTTTGAGTGCGCTCACACGTCGCGCGCGTGCAGAATCAAATGGAATCCGAGGGCGAGCAGGTCGCCGACAATTTCGAATACCTGGTGACGGACAGAGAGACCATCGTGTCTCTGTTGCTGCCGCACGTTCGGGACATCAACCAAACCACACCCGGTACGCTGGGTTGTCGCGCCGTGACAACGATCATCATGAACTCTCATTATTATCATTATTTGATCATCATACAGGGGGCGAGTCGGCCATGATGATGGCTGTGGCGAGGGCGAATCCGTACGTGATCCAGCGTATCCTGCAGACGTTCGCCGGTACAATCAAGCTCGACGGTGTCAGCGAGAGCAAGCAGACATTGCTGCACGCCGCCGTCGGACTCAACGTCTTCGCCTACGAGGTCACCAAGTACGCACTCCTCTATAGCGATGAACCTCATTCGGCGCTTACTCCTACCACGCACCACCAGGTTGCTGGCCAACGCGAAGGGCACCAAAGTGAACGCCTTCGATGGCGGCGGTACGTCTCGGACAGTCACGTTAAGGTCTAAGCTCGGACGCATGCTAACCCTAACGTGGTGCGGTGGGTCTTAGGCAAGACGCCGCTCTTCCGGGCCTGCGAGTCCAACAACACCGACGCCGCACTCGCCCTGCTTCAGGCGGGAGCCAATCCCTCGCTGGGCAGCGGCAAGCAGCTGCCGCTCCACCTCTCCGCCCAGTACCACAACGCCTATGTGGCGCACCACCTCCTCGAAGCCGGGGCCGACGTCAACGCCACGGACGAAGGTACAAACCTCTACTTCCGCTGTCCACGTGGGTGGTCTGATGAACGCTGCGTGTGTCGTGTGTGTCGTGTCATGTGTTATGTGCACAGACGGCAGGAACGTGCTGCACCTGATCTTCGAGGGCCAGCTGTCCCGCATGCGTCATATGTCGGAGCACTCGGAAGACGCGGTGCCGGTGCACCTGCGCTCATCGCTCAAGAACTGCCTGCGGCTCTTCGGCGCGCGCGGCGCCAACGTCGAGCAGCGGGACGTGATCGGCAATTTGCCGCTCGCCTATGCGCTCGTGTTCAACCACTTCACGCTGGTGCCCGCGGTCCTGGACATGAGCACGCCCAAGAACCTCGACCTGCTGGCCCCGGTGTGCTACACGCACGTGATGCCGGTCAAGCCCGAGTGCCAGGAGAGCGACTACGACGAGTACGTGCACGCGAAGGAGGAGCAGCGCGAGCCCGCGGTGGGCATGAGCGCCGAGGACAAGGCCAAGCTCGGCCAGGTGACCCGGTGGCTGGCGGCGATGCGGGAGTACCGCAGACGCGAGCGCAGCCTCTCCTCGTTCCGGCAATACGCCGGCGAGTCCGCGCTCCACTTCTTCGTCAAGCAGGGCAAGCTTGAGCTGGTACGTGGTAGTCTCTCGCGCATGCACACGTCGCCATCTGCAGCTGTGCGCGCCATGTGACGTTCTGACCGCTGTGCTTACGCACTTGCGCAGGTGCGGGAGGTCATCGGTCGCTTGGGCGACCCTCGCGAAATCAACACGCCCACCTCCATTTCTGGTAAGTATGCGCCCTATGATGATGCAGGGTACTTCGGCCTGACGCGGTTTGTCGCGACACCACACGACACGACACGTCACAGGCGACACGGCGCTCCTGCTGGCCTGCCGTCGACAGGACACGCGCATGATGGAGCTGTTGCTCAAGAATGGCGCGGACGTCAACATCGCCAACGCGCAGAACCAGAGCCCGCTGCATGCCGTGCTCCAGAGCAGCCACGGGTACGCGCACCAGGACTAATAATATATATATAAAAATATGTAAGGCGCCTTCCGGCCCTGGGATGATCACGCGGTGCTAACCCCTCTGCGTTGTTCGTGCAGTGACCCGATCGCGAGCGTCTCGCTGCTTTGCGATGTGGAGGGCGTACTGATTGACAACCCCGACGCCTCTGGTTGGACCCCTCTCGCTCTCGCCGCCCAGCAGGGAGCCGTCATGAGTTCGCTCTGCCTGCTCAACCACGGCGCCAACATCGACGCCGCCGACAAGCTCGTTCGTCACCACCACCACCGCCGCCATCACCACGTGATGTGGACTCGCTGACGTTCGGTTTTCACGCAGGGCAACACTCCGTTGGTCCAGGCCCTGGTGGCGTCTCACGTCACCTACGGCGCGCTGCTTATGCAGAAGGGGGCGAGCCTCAACACCAAGGTCACCACGGCCGTCACCAAGCACAAGTGGAGTATGGCATTCCGCACTGTGTCGTGTTCGGTTTTGCTGTGCTGATCGGCTCACCACACCCGCTCCACAACACACACACACACACACACACACCACTCGTGGCAGTTCCCTCGAAGCGAATGATGCAGGCCATCCAGAAGCACGAGTCGTCCACCCTGTTCGACTTTGCCGCCTTGCGCAACTACGAGGGACTGTGCTTCTTGATGCTCGACATTGGCATGGAGGGTTCGCAGCTGTTTGCCGCCTTCCAACACCTGCTGCAGACGGGCAAGTACACGCTCGCCCAGGTGCTCATCAAGAAGTACTCCGCCAGCGAGGTACGCACACGCACACGCACACGCACACGCACACGCACACGCACACGCACACGCACACGCACACGCACACGCACAATGACACACGCGACTCACGTAGCTGGCTGCTGTGACACACGTAGGAGAGACGAGCTGAGCTCAGGAACCTCGATGTGAACGCACTTGTCGGAGTGATAAGCGGCCTCCGGGTGTCCAACGACGACGAGCGCTACCGCGAGTGGTGGCAGGAGCTGATCGATCGCCTGCTCGAGCTGCGGCCGGCCGACGCCGCCGCGGGTGGCCTCGTGCCCGACCCCAGCAGCAACGCCAAGCTCCCCACCCTGCTCGCCGCTGAGGCCAACCACCCGCAAGTGCTCCGGTACCTCACCCAGCAGGGCCTCGACTTCACCGTGTCCGGCAAAGGTGCTCCCTCGTGTGTGTTGTGTGTCGTGTGTTGTGTGTTCGTGTGTCGTGTGTCGTGTGTCGTGTGTCGTGTGTCGTGTGTCGTGTGTCGTGTGTCGTGTGTCGTGTGTCGTGTGGTGTTGTGTTGTGTGGTGTGTGTCTACGCAATTGCCACGTTGACGACAACCTAAAACTGACCACTGGCTACTGACAGACGGCGAGACGCTCCTGCACATCGCGGCGAGGAAGAACTTGCCGCAGGTGATTACTGCGGTGATCGGCGAGACGACGGCGGCGGCTGCGATAGAGGCGTCGGCGATGGAGGTTGAGGCGGAGGAGGACGAGGAAGCAGAGCGACGGAAGAAGGAGGCGGAGCTGAATGGCCGGAACCGGAAGCGGCTGGCGGCGATCATCAACGCGCGCAACAGCGGGCAGCAGACCGCGCTCATTCGGGCCACGCACACCCACTCGTTCGCGTCGTACAGGAACGACAGGCTCCTGAGCGCGCTCCTCAAAATCCAGGGCATCGACGTCGACGCCCAGGACGCCAAGGGCAACACCGGTGCCGACCTCACCCCCCCCCCACTCCCCCACCATCTTACCGTGTGCGCACTGACTAACCCGTCCGCCCATCGTAGCGTTGTTCTACGCCGTGAAGACGTCGGCCGACACATGCGTCGGGGTATTGCTGGCACATGGCGCCTCGCCCAACATTGCGGTACGTACAACAAGCCCGACCCAACCCTGCTGGGCCACATGCAAATATATTGGAGCCTCACAATGAAGTTGTGCGTCGGCGCCACAGTGCGAGCGCGGAGAGACGGCGGTCTTTGTCGCGGCGAGAAACAACAGCTTCGGAATCATGCAGGCCCTGCTCGCCAAGGGCGCCGACCCGCACTCGGTCAACGCCAACGGCGACCGACTGCTCGCCCTCTGCAAGCCGCTCGCCGCCGCCGGCCTCTACCACTTTGTGCGCTCGGCTGCCGCGGCCGCCGCCTCGCCCACGCTCGTCGATCTGTTCCCCGAGTTCAAGCCGCGCGAGGGCGAGACCACGGATGCGGTCGTGGCCCAACTGGTGGGCCTGGTCGAGCTGCTCAACGAGGGCCTGCAGCTCTACCCGGACCGCCGGCAGCTCCTGGAGGAGCTCAGGCAGCTCGTCGTGGCCCACCTCACCAGCGTTGATGCCAAGCAATCGAGCAGGATTGCGCGCAACACGAAGCAGCTCTCGTTCTCGAGCCTCTCGCCAGAGGAGCTCACCGCGCTCAAGAAGAAGCGCAAGAACGAGAAGGAGGCCGACGCCGACGATGAAGATGAAGCGGAAGCCGAGGACGATAGCGTCGCCGCCAAGAAGGCCAAGGTGGCCAACGGAGACCAGGTTAAGAAAGAAGGCCAAGCCGAAGAGGAGGAAGAGGAGGTCATCGAAGAGCCCGACATCGGTACGCCCTGTCGCACAACACACAACACACGCCGCACACGGCGTGAGGTGCTGAACGTGTTTGTTTTGTTATTGTTGATGCACACACAGAGATCGGCGACGACATCGAGCAGATTCCGTTCCCGCCGCCCAAGAAGTGGACCGTCAAGCTGGCCCAGCGGTTCGTGGACGACGAGTTCAAGCGCCGGTACCGCGCCGAGGCCAGTCGCGTCTATCTCCTGTGGGGCGCCGATGGCCGGAGCGGTGAGGACGACGACGCGGAGGAGAAGAGCCAGGCCGACAACGACGACGATGAGAACGTCGGGTACCTGTACGACGCCAAGCTCAACCTGTGCGACATCTCGTAGGCACCTACGGCCACAACAAGTACTACATCATCCAGGCCTTTGGCAACCGCGCTCGCCCGGACCTCTTCTATCTCTGGTACGCTGCGAGCTGTGGGCGGGGAGTTGTAGTGCGCCGGCACAGCATCTTGGGTAGCTTACACTCTCTCTTGCGTGCTTTTGCTGCTGCTGCGCGTGTGTGCAGGACGCGGTGGGCGCGCGTGGGCTCCTACGGCTTCGAGTCTCAGTTCCAGACCTACGAGACCAAGGAGGAGGCCGTCAAGGCCTTCGAGCAGAAGTTCCGCGACAAGACCAAGGTGGCTCACCACCACATGCACACGCACACGCACACGCACACGCGCGCAACACTGCGCCATGCAATTGCTTATCTCGCTACTTAATCGACAGAACAACTGGAGGGAACGAGCCGACTTCCAGCAGGCCCACGACCGCTACTTTTACATCCCGGCCACGCACGAGATCGAGGACGACAACGCGCCGAAGGCGGGCGATAACGACGACGACGACTCCAGCGAAAAGGGCGTGGACCCCGCGTGCAACCTGCCCGGGTCGGTGCAGTCGCTTCTGCATCTCATCAGCAACCGGAAGGAGTTCATGCACACCTACGCCGCCTACGGCCTACGGACCGCGGGGTTGGGGTCGCTCACCAGCGGCCAGATCCGCAACGGCTTCAAGCTGCTCAAAATCATCTCGGGCATCATCACCTTCATCGATAAGAAGAACGGCAAGGGCCAGCCCGTGCCCTCGCGCTTCAGGTATTGCCTCTACCGAAAAACATTTCTCTTCTCTCTATATATATATATATCTATATTTCTACATTCATTCTCTTCTTAACTTCATGTGTGTGTGTGTGTGTGTGTATGCGTTTCTCTGCCACTGCAGGACGGCGCTTGTCGAGCTCTCGAACAAGTACTACAGCATCATCCCCTACAACTTTGGGCGCCAGCTGCCGGACGTCATCTCGCAGACCAGCCAGGTGTCGGAGCAGATGCGCATCCTCGAGTCGTTGGCGGACATCGACATGGGCGTGCAGATCCTGGCGGAGGCGGAGCAGGGCCTGGCGGGCGAGGGCCACGTCCTGGAGAAGCTCTACGCCGCGCTCCACGCCCAGCTGACGCCCGTCGACAAGAGCTCCGACGAGTGGCTGGTGGTGAACGAGTTCCTGGGCACGTCGGGCCTCAGCGTGCTGGACGCCTTCGCGGTCGAGCGCGAGGGCGAGGCCATGCGCTTCCGCCCCTTCTCCCACCTCCCCAACCGCATGCTCCTTGCCCACGGCACACGACTCGCCAACACCGTACGGCGACCCCACCCCTGCACCAACTCCCGCGGCGTGTTGTAGGTCCCTCACCACCACCGTGGCTGGGCGTGGCGTTGGTCTGTGGTGGACCACCAGATGGGTATCCTGCGCCAGGGTCTCCGCATTGCGCCGCCCGAAGCTCCGCACAGCGGCTACATGTTCGGCAAAGGAAGTACGCGTTCTCTCTTCTCTCTCCGTGTCGTGGTCGTTTTGCTCTGCCTTGCTCTGCATTCCACTCACGATGTGTGCCACCAACCACTGTAGTCTACTTCGCCGACGTGGCTGAGAAGAGGTGCGTGCCGAGGCCCTGGCGTGGCATCTTCGGCGGCTTTGCTCACGTGTGCGTGTTGTGCGTGTGCGTGCGCGTGCGCAGTGTGGGCTACTGCGGCCTGGGGATGGGCGAGGTGGGCGTGTTCCTGCTGTGCGAGGTGGCCCTGGGCAACCAGTACCCGTGCTACGGCGCCACCTACATCGAGGTCCTCCCGCGCGGCAAGCACTCCACCCTCGGCTGCGGACGCCAAGTCCCTTCCCCTTCCGCCTCCATCTACACGTACCACTTCCCTCCGCACACGCACACGCACACGCACACGCACTTGGCTGACGCAGAGGCGTGCGTGGTGCAGTGATGAGGGTGTGAAGATACCGCTGGGGCGGGAGGATGCAGAGCAGGAGGAGGGCGCGGTGAAGAGGCGACTGACCTACAACGAGCACATCGTGTACAATGAGGGCCAGGTCCGCATCCGCTACATCCTCAAGGTGCGCCGCGGATGAAGCAAGCCTCTGTCTCACAAGGCTCTGTCTCACGACCACTCAAGCATCGAAGGCTTGCTCCCAAGATCACGCTGTGAAATTAAATCAAAATTTTTTATAAATTAGATCCAGATTACTGACCGAAAGAGAAGGCGCCGCTCGTTCTCGTTTTCGTTCGTGGCCCGGGCGAGTGCGTTACGACCTACACGGTAGGGCAGGGTGAAGATCTTGACATGGAAGGATGCGGGGGGGAGGCGGAGGCGGTGAAGAAAAGGCGTGGATGACGTTTAGGCCTCGGTGCGTCGCACGTTCTGGACGCGGGCGGGTCGGTAGCCGGGCGAGAGAAGCCAGTAGAGGCTCAGGCACACCCCGAGGAACGCCAAGAAGTACCAAGTCCAGATTCCTTCGCTCATCTTGCGCCTTCTTTGGTCGTTCGAAATTTACGCAAAGACAAATTGTATTTTAAATTCTATTATTGTGTTGGTATGCAACGTATGTCCGATCATCAGGGGTAGAGGTGGGCGTGCGTGGATTCTACTGCGAAGCGCTGGGCCTCGTCGTAGGCCCACTGCAGACAGGCGTCCAGCTCGCGCTCGCTCTCACCGTCCTCGCTCTTCTTGGCCCCCGTGCGCAGGCCCTCGAACAGGTTCCACCACCTCTCGTGCCCGAGAATCAGCAACAGCGGTGGGTCCTGTCTCATGAGCGACGCAGTCAGCCGCCACACCGCCAGCAATATCACAACGTCAACGAACGAGAGAGGGCGAACCTCGAAGTTGTACTCGTAGCCCTGCTTGGGGTCGCGCCACTTGAAGGCGTCGGCATGGCGACTGACGACGTAGTGCAGGAAGTGCATCCCGAGCGCGAACACGTTGGCGTCCTCCTCCTCTTCTTCTTCGTCCTCTTCGCCGCCGACACTAGAATCTCTGCGGCTGAAGAAGGGCAGCTGGAATGTGGGCGAGAAGCGGACGCCGCGGCTGATGTTGCCGGCGTGCTTGTTGAAGGTGGTGCGGAAGTGGTGCTCGGCCATCGCCACGCCGTTGAAGGAGGCATGCGCGCTGGCCCTGTTGCGAGCCTGGCGCTGCCTCAGGTGCCCGATGCACCCCTGGGCGTCCAGATAGGGCGCGCCCACCAACTGGAAGGGAATCGTGGTGCCTCGGCCCTCACTACACCGACGAGAAAAGAACGAAGACGACGGCCGTAAGCGAAGAAGAAAGCGAAGAGAAGAACGAAGCACGGGCGAGGTACCTGACGTTGGTGGCCTCGAGAACGACGAAGGCGGGGAAGTAGAGAGCCGAGTTCCAGCTGGGCATGTTGGGCGAGGCAAAGGGGAACGAGGAGGCGTAGCCCGCGCGCAACATCGTGCGCATGGAGTCCTTGCGCCGCAGGCCTTCGACCTTCACCACCGAGTAGACCACCTGCTTCAGGTCGTCCATCCGCACGAACAGGTTGCCCAGCTCGCCCAACGTGAGTCCGTGCCTGGCATCACATCGCCCACACGCGTCACAGCGCCCAGTCAGCCCGTAGGGAATAGATAGCCAAGGGGCAGGCGAGAGACAGGAGGAGAAGGCATCGCACCTGAGCGGGATGGGGTACCAGCCCACGAAGCTGTGCCACTTGGTGTCGAGGATGTTACCCTCGACCCTGCGCCACTTGCTGTCGGCCTTACCTTGCCACGACAGGCCCAGCGGGTTGGGCCGGTCGAGCACCACCACGCGCTTCCTGTGTGCCAAGGACATGTCGTGTAGTCAGCATTTGTTTGGCTCAGTCTGGCCGGGGTGGGCCATCACATAGACGCCTGGAGTACCCGGAGCGATTGGCGGCCCGGAGGCAGGCGGCCAGGGTGAGCATGAAGGTGTAGATACGGCAGCCGATGTCGGGGAGGTCGACCACGAGAGTGTCGACCTGCTCCATCTGCTCGGGGCTGGGCTCGCGCCGCTCCGAGTAGAGGCTGTAGAGCGGGACCGACACGTCGGCCGTCGTGTCTCCGACGGCGGTCTGCCCGCTGCTGCGAAAGGTGTAGCGCTCGTCTGGCGTCTCCACCATGTTGTCCTGCTCACACTGGCGGTACCCATGCTGCGGTCCGAACACCGCCGTCACCCTGCTCCCCTTCGCCTCCCGGCACCCTGCAAACACCTGAGACGCGCACACCAGGGTTGAATTGACTGTGCGGTCCGTTGTCGCTGTCGTCTTCCTTCTTTAAAGAACGAAAGAGACGCCCCCCCCGGGGGGGGGTACGTACGACGTCGGTGGCGGGGCGGCCGTCGAGGGTGGCGCAGGCCTGGTGACTCACCACGCCCACTCGGCCGAGGTCGTCTGCAAGAAGAGCGACAGAGGTTAAGGCACTCCTTCTGGAAGGAAGAGAAGGCCCACGCACCAAGGAGGGAAGGCCGGAGGGCGACGAGGTCGATGCCGCACTGCATAGCAAGAGGAAACGATGCAAGGGAAATAGAAAATAGAAAGGGAAAAAAAAGAAGCGCAAGACAAGATGGAGGATCAACAACAGCAGCAAGCCACCCCACAGCCACTGGTATTCGATTTTGAAGCCATCAGGAGGGCAACGGAAGAGGGCATACGGGCTGCAGAAGCGGAACACAACCAGCGTAGCGCGAACGATGCCACCCAGCTTGCCTCGGCTGCTCGAGATGTCGCGTCGGCAATGCGCGACGCCCTCGCCCTCGACAAAGGACCCACGCACTAGTGGTTCCCTGGCTGGATGTTAAATCGTTTTAGGGTTAAATAATCCAACGTTGATGTAAATAGATTAAATTCATTAGCGCAACAAGATGAAACAAAATTGGTGTTTGTGCCCTTACACCTAGGACCTGTGGCCTCCCCGACCACCCCTGCCACCGCGGCCTCCACCGCCTCGTCGCCCACCCATGGGCCCACGGCCGCCACGGCCGCGACCGCGTCCGCCGCGGAAGCCACCACGGCCACCGCCCTCATCGCCACCACCGTGCTTCTCCGCCTCCTGCAGGTTGCACGACAGGTGACGCTGATGGTTGGCACAAAGCTTGCAAAGGAATGCGGGCTCTCGAGAGGGTCGGTCGGTGGTTGGATGTGGTTTGTTAGGTACCTTGCGTTCGCGCTGTTCGTTCTGGAGGGACTGGAAGGGGTTGGCGCTCCCAGAGGGGGCTGCGATAGGCTTCTGCTTGATCTTCTTGGTACGGCCCTTGTCGTACTCCTCGTCCCACTCATCTCGTTGACGCTGCGCGCGCACACAGCAAGAAAACACGTGGAGGGGTCAACGATGATCAGCGCCCCGGTGCCACAAGGGGAGCGCTGCTCCCTTACCTTCTCAATCTGGAGCTCGGGGGCGGTCTGGAGGAGGTGCTTCTGCTTGGCCACCTTGCTCTCGATTCCCTTCACGCCGTCCCAGTGCGTGACTGTGATGTATACAAAGTTAGCCGGCCTGCGCCAGGACCCAGACATACCGAAAAGGGAAGAAGGGGAGTACCATTCTTGGTCTCGAGCTGGTTGTCCTTGGTGTTGAGCTTGAGGTACTGCTCCCACTCCTTGGCGCCGTCGGACGCCTTCTTGCCCTTGCCGAGCGGCGACGAGTCCACCAGGTCCTTGCCCTTGCCGCCTCGTCGGAACACGAGGTCGTCGAAGGAGAGCACCTTGTCGTTCTTGCCGCTGCCCACCACCACCTTCTCCTTCTTCTCCTTGCCATTGGCGTTGTTGTCTTTGTTGGCAGGAGCGGGAGTAGGAGCGAGAGCAGGAGTAGGAGCGGGAGCGGAAGTAGGAGCGGGAGCGGAAGTAGGAGCGGGAGTGGCGTCGTCAGGCTTGTGCTTCTTCGTCTCCTCGACCACGACTTCCTTCTGCTCCTCCTCCCTCTTCCTCTTCTGTCCCATGGCAGGCTCGACGTTCTTCGCTTCGGGGACATTCTTCAGCGGCGTACCATTGGAGTCACTCGAGCCATTCTGCGAAGGCTTGGCCTTCTCCGGCGTGTGAGCGATGGCGTTGCCGTTGACGACGGCGGCAGGCTGCGCGTGCCCGTTCTCCTTCGCCGGTGACACGGCGACGCCATTGGCCTCGCCACCATTTGCGGCGTTCTTGTTGCGCCTTCGCCTCCGCTTCTTCTTGCCAGCTCCATCGGGGGTGGTCGCCGTAGCGACTGCGCCATTGCTTTCCACGATCGGTTGGATCTCGACCGGCTTCGGCGCTTCGACCACCTTGGCCTCTACTGCGGTCTCGGGCTTCGCCGGGACGACGGGCGCAAGCTTCTCCTTGGTAGGCGCGAGCTTGGTCTTCGCGGGCGAGGCCACAGGGGGACTTGGTTTCCTTGGCGGGCGCGGGCTTCGTCTTCGCAGCAGGCGAGGCAGCGGGGGACTTGGCCTGCTTCTCGCTCTTGCCCTTTTTGTCGGCCACGCTCTTCTCCTTGCCTTCGTCGTCAAACTGGGCGAAGAGGTCGTCGATGCTCATTCGCGCGTAGTCGAAACCGTCCTCATCGTGCTCCTGCTCCTGCTCCATGGCGTCGCCCTCCTTCCGCGCCTCCTTCGCCTTGCCCTGCGGCGGTGCAGCGGACGCCTTCGCTTTCTGGGGCTGGTGATCCCCGTTGGCCTTGCCGTTCGCCGCGGGCTGCTTCTTGGGGCTGGGGCTGGCAGTCGTCTGCTGCTTCTCCCCATTGGCGACCTTCATCTGGTTGAAGGCCGTGAAACCGTCGAGTCCCTTCGTCGGCTGCAGCGGCGACGCAGATTCCTTGCCGTTGGGAGTGCTGCCAGCACCGGTGGAGGCCGCCTCGGACGAGAGTCGTCGCTTCTTCGTCTGCGGGGGCGTAGTGCTGGTCGTCTTCTTGTTGTTCGAGAGATCCTTCCTGGTCACCGCCTCGCCGAGGTCCTCTCCATTCTGAGCCAGCTTCCCCTTCTTGGCGGCTTGCTTGGGCGACACCGGGCTTCTGACGCTCTGCTTCTTGCCCTCGCCGTCGTCCTCCTCCTCTTCCGAATCATGCTTGTTGGCGACCGGTCGCTTTCGCTTCTTGCTCTTGGCCTCCTGATCGCTCTCGCTGCTCTCATTGCCTGCGAGTCACAGCAGAAATCACGGGTGAGCTCTCTCTGGCGCCACAACATTCGCGGACGGGAGGAGAGTGGGCACCATTGAGCTGTGCCGGCAAAGAAGCGGGTGATCTCACATAAAAGAGAAGATAGGCCTGCTGCTTCATCACTTGCTCCTGGCTCACTTGTCGCCGCTGATCGAAAGAGGATGATGAGACTAGGCGTCAGCACCCAAGCACGCAGGAAAGGAAGAGGAGGCGAGTGACGGTACAGTGGAATCGTTCATCTCGTGCCAGATGCCGTTGGAGTTCTTAATATAGCAATAGTAGTGTCCGGCGCGCGTGTCGTAGCCGCTGTGCACGAGCACGCCGTAGAGGTCGTAGCATGGATTGGAGTCATACTGCAAGGGAATTCAAGAAATGAATTATGAGCAATCGCAAGCACGGTTGAGATTCGTCAGGTCGCACCTGGTTCTTGCTCATGAACGGCTTCAGCGAGAGCTTGGCGGGGTAGGAAATGAACTTGCTGATCTTGCCTCCAAACATCGACCGATAGGAAAACCGCTTGAGCTGAATCGCGAGAACGTTGGGCGCCTCGTGAATGCTCAACTGCTTCTTCGCTCTACTTCGCTTGGCGCATCTGCGAGTTGCCGGCGAGAGATCGGTAAGCAGAAACGACACACAGCGCAAGAGTCGAAGCAGCAGCACGTACTTTTCGCATTTGTACATGTTGGAGGAGTCCAACACCTCGGGTTTGGTGAAGTGGATGAGGGCGTCGTTGATCGAGCTGCAGTGCTTGATCTCGAGCGACAGGTCGAGGAATGGGTCGAAAGTGTTCGATGCGTACGAGCAAGCCGCGCACACCACCTATCGGCAATAGGGCGACAAATTATAAATTTGCCGACAGCCTCATGGCCGTGCACTCCAGCTGGAGAAGACGAAGGTCGAGCAAGAGGTACCGAACTCTGGAGGTGACCTCCGAATATCCTGTGCACGACCGACGTCTGTTCAATGCGTGCCTCCAGCTTCTCGCTGTAGAGGTGGAGGGCCAAGCGGATGTGAGCACGATGCCTTGTTGTTCACCCTGTGGAATATAAGACATACCCTTGTGGCAAACTGCTCTTGTGCATGCCGCTGAGCAGATAGCACAGGAACTCCTGGGCGTCTTCCTGCCTGCCCAAACGGAAGTGCTTCACAATCGCTGCATCCCCACGTGGAGAGAGAGACTTAGAGATGCCTCTTGCCACGTGATTGAAAATAAAGTAGAGCAGTAAAAAATCGTACCTCGAAGCTGAGACACGATCTCCTTGGGCACGATGGCGCCAGATGTGGCCTTGAGGGCGGCCACCACGTGCCTCTCCATTACGCACATCGCGCAAAAACCAACCTTGCGGCCTTGAATCGCAGAATGAATGGGCTTAGTGTGGGAAATGAAGAAGAAATCGCACATGGAGTTGAGGGACGTACAGGCCTTGGAGTGCTGCCTCGATTGGAAGTAGTTGGCAAGAGGAGGGCAGTAGGTGAGGCATTGGAGGGTGGAGTTGAGGAAGCAGGTGTTGCCCACGTTGTGGAGGCCTGCTCCAATTGTGCTCGGCTTGCTCCATTGCAGCATCTCGTAGATTTTCTCCTTTGGATAGAGGCTCCTCTTCGGAACGGGAAGCGTGGCTTCCTCGAGCTCACTACTCGGCGGTGGTGCACAATTCCCCCCCTTAGGGGATTTCGATGGAGCTCCTCCATCGCCTAAAGATGAGTTGATGGGCGTGTACTTCGAACGGAACGAATTGAGGGATTCTGCATGGCGGGCCTTTTGGAACGTGATCTTTCTTGGCGTGATCGGAGCCGACGACGCCAGCAACTCATCAACGTTGCTCTTTTTCTTGGAGCTCAACTTCATCTTGGCCTCGCGATCTTTGCCACGATGAGAAATTATCAGATTTTGTGAGGCGTGCTGGCCCAAACGTTTGGGTTCCCTTTCTGCGGAGCGGAAGGAAATGCAACTCCGACCCGTGCCGGACCAGACTTCTTTGGTTCAACTGCTGCTTCCAGACAACTGAAGTCTTCCACAAGGTGATACCACTGGTGTTGTAGAGTGTCTTCATATTGAGGGTGGCTCTGGCCAGACCTAGCAAGAACTTGTTGTGAGCCACCTTCCTCTTGTGTACATTTTTCTCCTTTCTTTCTCCTAATTCAAGAAGCAGAACATAGTGCGGGAGGGGCGGCTAGGTGGCGCCGTCCACGAAGCAGAGGTGTGCCAAGAGATAGCTTATTCGAATAAGTACAGCGGATTGCGCTCTGGCCTGTTTTCTCAATTCTTTTCTTTTCTCTTCTCTTTGAAACGACAAAGAGAAGCTGTCCCACAGAAGTTGAAGCGAATACCACAACTGCCTCACCAAGCAGCTTGACCACAAAGCTGACATAATACAAGCCAGGCCAAGAACTACCACTGCTTCGGATCTCGTCACCGCTCCTCCTGCCACCCAGTGATTATTATTAAATTTACACCTGTAAATGCAAACCTCGCCCTCGAGGGCGGGCGCGTCGGTGCCTCCACTTTCTCTAGCCACCACGGGCTCGAGGCTCACTACCAACAATGTCAATATTCACAATGCGGCGACGGCAGCATTAACCGGCAGCGGCGCCAGCCCCACGCAGAACAAAACTGGTAAAAAAAATCCCCCCATGACTTCATTTAATCTTATTCACCACTTTATAAATCCACAATAATCCCCTGTAAGAAGGGCGTTCTATTGTTTGCTAGATTTATTTTGTCAGTTAAACAGCAATTTAATGCGCACGTAATAATAATTAATAATTGGTTGGTCAGTGCTGCGCGTGCCCAAAGCGAAGGGTCCAGGCTGCCGGGACTGGACGCACGACTTTGTGGCCAAGCGAACGGCCAAAAAGGACCTGCGCGAACGCCTCTTCGTCGTCCTGGTCAAGCGCATGGCCCAGGTACTCCCTCCCTCCCTCCCTCCTCCATATCTCGCCTGGCTCTCAAACGCCACATCGTCCTCGTCGTCAATGTCATGGTGCGCGCTCTCGAACGATTGAACAGCTGTCGATGGCCCGGCTGGTGCGCGAGGAAACGAGCATGCTCTCCACCCTCTTGGGTCGCCGACCGCCGCCAATCGACGTCAAGGGCGTGGGTGGACCCGCCAGCAAGCCGCTGCAGGAGAACTCCGACAACAAGTGCTACTGCGGGTACATACGCGCGCTCTCCGATCGGCCCCACTCCCTTTTGTGCGCACTCTCGGCTGTAACTGACGCGCTCACCATTTGACCGTGTGCGCACCAGACGTCCGTTTGGGTTCTTCAGCCAGCACAAGAAGCGATGCGCGCTGTGTCTCGACTGGTTCTGCGATGCGTGCGTCATGCAGCGCGTGCCGCTCCACCTCGTGAACAAGGTCGAGCGTGCCCTGTCGCCCACCGACGTGCCCATGCTCAACACCTGCGAGGAGTGCACCCGCATCGCCTACGCCTACGTCAGGTGCGCCCCGATTCTTCGTCCTTCGTTCTTTGACGGCGCAGTGATGGACCTTTGACTCAAACTACTGTTCCCCAGGAGCGTACGCTACAGAGCGATTCTGCTCGAAGGCCGCAACCACCCGCTGCCGGCCTTGTACCACTTCATAATGGAGGAGGACCAGCGCATCGCACACAGCATGTTCGGCTACGCCAAGATGGTGAACGACCTGCGCGCCGTCGACGAGCAGGAGCGGGCCAGGCGTACCTCGCTCGACTACACCTCGTCGCCCGTCGTCCACAACTCTGTTCTTTCCGCCGCCTTCCAGGTTCCCTACCCCCACCTTTCCACGCTGGCCCGTTGTTGTGCCCCACATCTCACCCTCCCCCCGCAATGCCCGTGTGGACTATATAGGAAGCGCTGGAGGCGGGGCAGGAGATCGAGCAGCTCATGTACTCGATGACGGTCAGGATCGAGCAGCTGGGGAAGGGCATCCCCTTCTCGGGGCCGGATTCGATGGTGGTGCAGGAGCCCTCCTATCTGACCCAGAGCCCCGCGGACTCGCCCAGGTCGGCGTCGTCCTCCAACCCCACCTCTCCGCGCGCCTCCACGCTCGCCCTGCCCAGCGGAGGACCCTACATGCTGTCATCGCGCTCGTCATCCACCTCATCGCTCGACTCGGTCATCAACGTGCCCGTGGTGGAGCCGCCACCCAAGTCGGAGGCCCAAAACGACGTCCCGCTGTGGCACCCCACCACTGAGACCGACGTCGAGCTGCTGGGCAATGTCTCCACCACCCTCCGAGATCGCTTGGAGGAGCACCGACATTTCTACGACGCCCTGCACATGGTTCTCTCTCTCTCTTTGTTGTGTGTGTGTGTGTGTGTGTGTGTGTGCCTGCGTGTGTGTGTGTGTGTGTGTAGTGTGTGTGTGTGTGTGTGTGTGTGTGTGTGTGTGTGTGTGTGCGTGTCGTGTGTGTGTGTGTGTGACTGCGATGGGAGTAGCTTACATACGTATGTCTGTCTGTTGGCGCATTGTGCTTCAGCAAATGATGCTCCTGGAACTGCGGCTACTGCGCGAGGTGTATGTGACCGTGTTCCAGCTGTCCTACGAGCTGCGCGAGTTGTTCAACATCAACGGACAGCACAACGAGGAGAGCACGGGCGTCAACGTCTACCTCCTGCTCATGCAACTCCTCAAGGTCTGCAAGCAGGAGCTCAAACAGCTCGTCAACAAGATCGAAGACGCCAACTGGTACAACCGCTCCTCCCCTCTTCAGCGCCGAGTCGACGCCTCGCTCACTCGCGCTCCCTCCATTCTCCATCTTATATATTTATTTTTTCAGGACACACTATGAGGAGGGCATTGCGGGCCTGGTGCGAAAGCGTCTGGACAACAGACGGCTGATCGACATCCCGCCGTTCGTGCTGCGAGAGCTCACGCCCGACGCGCTCACCGTGCTCGTCGTCGCCAAGTTCCTGGGAATCGTCCGCGTGGAGGTGCTCTCTCCCTCTCTCTCACCCTCACACATTCCCCCCCCCCCAATTGGCGCTCGAGCCTCTGCTCACCTGGAAAAAAAAACGGCAACAGGAGAAGAAGCTGGAGCTGAGAACAGCAAAGAGCCGATTCGTGAACACGAAGAAGAACTTCCGGAATCTGGAGACGATCGTCACCAACACGTGCCTCAAGCAGGACGAGGAGGAACGCGCGCGGGAGAAGAGCAAGCATGTCAGCCACCTCGACGAGAAGCTCGCCAAGCAGCAGCAGCCGCAGCCGACCAAGACAGCCTTCATCCTGCCACCATCGCCCCAGCACGCCCAGCCACAACAATCGCAGCCACCACAGCCCAAGCAGCAGCCTCAGCTCAAGCCACCACCGCAGCACGTACCGCCAGTCGGTGCGGGCGTGCTGCCGCTGCTCGCCGACACCACCGCCACGGCCGACAAGCAGAAGCAGCGGGAGCGAGCACTCTCGCTGGACCAGGGCCACAGCGCCGCCAGGCCCAAGTTCGCGGGCGGCGCCAGCAGTGACCGCGAGGACGGACCTGTCGCCCGGCCCCAGGGACGAGAGAAGGCCAAGGAGGCGGTGCCCTCCCCGCCCGCGGTCAACGGCAACGGCGGCGTTCTGAACGGCGTCATGCGCAAGGTGGGCGTGGCCTGAGGCAACAAAAGAAATTGAAAGGAAATTGCAAAAAGTAATAAAATAGTCGCCTTTGCGCAAAGAAGATGGAGCACGATGGGGGCAGCTGGTGGGCGTGGGGCAGCGGAGGCAGCGGGCAACTTGGCCTGGGTACCACTGCAGACCATTCCCTGCCGTGCCGGCTTCCTCCGCTCCCAACGGGCGCTGGGCAGCTGCGGACCCTGGTGGGTGGCCCCACCCACACCCTGGGACTCACCCGTACGGGCCTCCGACCACTTCAAGCTGACGCTTCAGGACCCCTGGTGGTGCTGGCCTCACACTGCGCGAGCGTACAGATGAGGGCGACGTGTGGGCGTGGGGCTGCGGCGATGACGGACGGCTTGGGCTCGGGGCACCCTGCCATGACCAGCCCACGCCCCAGCGCGTAGTGCTACCAGAGAGAGTGGTCCAGGTGGCCGCCGGGTGGAGCCACTCGCTCGCCTTGGCCGGTGCGCGCAACTTCTATTCCTCGACCGTTCTACCCAGGCCTGCTGGTGGTGCTCACAGTAGTCACTGCAGCGAGCGGCAAGGTGCTGTGTTGGGGCTCGTCT